GTTGAGTCTTTTGGTTGACATAGAATTGAGTGAAGCGACTTTGTTGGTTTGTGTACGACGTCAATTCCTTAAGGTTTGAAGAGTCTTGTGGTGTGATTTCTGAGATATCCTTTACGTATGGTAAGGCTCCCACCTTAAGTAAAATTGAAGAAAAGTATCTCATGGACGTCTTCCAAAAGAATGGATATCCACGGAATTTCATCAAAAAACATATACCTCCAAGCCAACCTACCAAAGCAAAAGCCACCAAGGAAAATACGAAGAAAATCGCCTTACCATACATAAAGGATATCTCAGAAATCACACCACAAGACTCTTCAAACCTTAAGGAATTGACGTCGTACACAAACCAACAAAGTCGCTTCACTCAATTCTATGTCAACCAAAAGACTCAACAGCGAAAGAAGATAAAACCAACATCATCTACAAAATAAATTGCAACAACTGCGAAAAACACTACATTGGCCAAAGTGGACGTCCCCTTCGTCTTCGTATCCATGAACATAAACTAGCCGTCAGAAGACATGATATCCACTCCCTCATATCGCTTCACTGCATACAGACAACCATGGACATCAATTCGACTGGGACCACCAACTTTCAAATATTAGACAGAGGAAACAACAAGAATGCTAGAGAATTTTTAGAAGCTTGGCATTTCAATGAATCATCAATCAATAGACACATAGAGATAGACAGAATTTATCAACCGATAAGAAATAAGCCTCACACACAAAGGGTCAAAGTTCAAATCAAAGAAACAATCAGTTCCAATGCAAGTAACCTAGAAGGTGTGAAAACATACAAAAACAACCAAAGAGTCACGTCCATGATCACCGACCAGGAGAGATGATTAATAAACTCGTGGAGAAATCTAAAAGCTCACTTCAAATTAAAGTATGCGCTGAAGATTTCACCCAGTAGGGTGATGAAAGCTTCGCAAATTAACCATCCAGCTCAGAGAAGAAAGCCACATCAAAAGTGGAGAAGTGTTGTTCAAGCCGTATGTTCCACTCGGAACCCAAGGGAATAATACCAATATATTAAGAGTACCATAAATTATTACACACACAAACACACACACACAGTGTTCTTGTCCTGCGAATGTGCGCAATTTTGGCCATGCCTATGGTTAAACATAGATATTTCCTCTCTCTCTCTCTCACCGAAATACTTACTGAAAAATAGTGTTATTTTCCAACAATAAGCTTCATATATGTCAATAAAGTATCATATCTAATAGAATCCCTGTGTTCTGGATCGTTACATCATCGAAGAATCCAAATGTGAGGAGTTGTAATTTTGAATCACTTGAAAGTATTCTAGAATTATATCACCAACTGACCTACCAAGTGAATTTAGTTCTTGACGCACAATTAATTTAGCACATAAAAGTCCAACAGTCCTATTTGCACCCCAAAACCTGACACACACGAATAAACAGAAAGGCATGGATGAAAATTATACGGGACAAAGTATAATTACATATGAAGAATGGGAACTTTTAGAATCTTAAAGTTTACAACTTTAAGTCATATGTTATTAAACTCTTTCTCCAATTATTGATTCATAGCATCCTAAACGACTTCATCAAAGCAAGGCAGTCGATACCTCTCTCAGTTTTTTTTCCTTTCTTGTACGTTCCCAGTGGAACATAGGGCGCCATCAAGCTAGACGCTTGAAGTTTCTGTAGCAGTGGTGTTTATTTTTACAGCATTGGGTTGCTAGCCTCATACCCAACCCTCCCTCTTCACCAGTCTTATTACCGGCTTAACGAGGCAAAGGAGTGCGTCGACTGGGTATCGAACCCCGAACCACAAGTGTGGTCAGCGAGCATTATACCGCTGTGCCACTGACGGACACCTCTCTCACCACATGACTCAAAAATTAACAGTCAAAAGATTCATCTCAACAGCACAACAAGAAGACGTAGTTTATTTGAAACGTGTAATGTACTTGTACAACACATTTCGGATATTTTTAATGTGATTACATCTCTGACAACAATCTCCTATTACCAGTGTCCTTATCTTATTTGAGAGTTACTGCTTGTATGTGCTAACAAGGTTAAGTTTACATTTGAAGGTGAACATTATCGCCAGATCGATGATGTTGCTATGGGAAGCTCCCTAGGTCCATTTTGGCTGATATATATATCACATGTTGAGAACCTAGTGGAGCAAGAAATTGGAAAAGTTTATTTTTTAAGAGATATGTACATATACATATGCATGACATAACAGTCATTTGTGATAAACCAACAGACTCCATAGAAATACTAAACCACATTAACAGAGTACAAAATAGCATATCGCTAAGATATGTTAAAGAGAATTATAATTGCTTGTCATTTTTAGATGTACTCATAACCCGCCTACAAGATGGGTCAGTGAAATGATCTGTCTACAGTAAGTTCAAATGGACGGGACAGTATATAAATTATTATAGTTTCTGTCCACTAGAGTATAAAAAGGTATTTGTTAAATGTTTATTCAAACGCATTCACCGTATATGTACTACCGACACAACAAATGAAGAAGAAAGACAACACCTCACTGAAATATTGTTAGATAACAATTACCCGCTGAGATTCACTAAGCATTACGGAAGTGTCAACCAAAGAGCTCTATCGATCCAATCAGCGCCCCCCCCCCAAAATGTTCATATATATTCTTGCCGTTCAGGGATGATCAACAAAGTCTGGTCACTAAACAAAGACTCAAAGGTGCAGCTAAACTTATCTTCATAAAGAAAACGCGAATTATGCTGTCTTGTAACCCTCACAGTATCCAAACAACAGTGCGGCATCTCATTGTGTTTATCAATTTACATTCATGTGGACACACGTACAAAGGGAGGGCACAGATTAGGGCTATAGAACATATTTCAAAAGTGGCTGCAACAACAAATAAAATCCGCCGGATACAATTGATCGCGGAAATAGATGTCCAACATCATCTAGCAGGTGTGCGTCGATGGCACAGTGGTTAGGACTCTCGCCGACCATGTACATGGTCCGGGGTTCGAGCCCACGCCGACGCACACTTGATATCTATGGTCGGCCAGCGAATTTTGGGCTACCGATATCCAAGCTGAAAATTCCACACTTGTACCAAAAATACGGTGTGGAATCAAGCTGTAATCCAAAAATTAAAAAAAATAAAATCTATCGCGAAGCACATTATAGAGACGGGTCATAAGGTTGATTTCAAGAATGCCTTTAAGCCATATATATAAAACAAAGTTGGGTCATACACTTAAATTCGTTGAAGCCTTGGCCATAAAAAGACCTAAACCTGTTTGTCTTATGTGTCCAAACGTTATTTGTTACTACTATAAACTTGCCTCGGTAATCCAATTTAGAACCAAGGGTTAATTTACTTCATAATATTTTCAAAGGCTTCTTTTTATTTTCTTTTTTTTCTTGCCCACACATGTGTGTCATCTCCCTACCCCTCATTTGTCACCTTGACTCGTATTGTAATAATTCATGCTTTCTTGCCTTCTACATAACTGTGTGTGTGTGTGTGTGACCAGAATGTCAGAAATGTGTTGCACAAATATACTACATTACAAACGTTTCAGATAAAAACTACGTCTTCTTATTGTGTTGTCGAAATTCATAAAGGGAACTAACTGCTTCAAAAGATTCATGTCAAGTTTTCATTTGACACCTTTTCACCAATGAAAGTCTGTCTGTTTTCGACATAGAACTTTGCACAAATATGCGGAAGTTCAAGTCGCCACATTCCGTGTAGCACGCGAAGCAAGAGAAGAAAGTACAAGAAAAGCATAATAGAAACAGTGAGCAGAGGTGTGAGACAAAGGAGTAATAAAGAAATACAAAACAGTTTCATTGGAGATCATAAGTCACAGGGAGTGGATGCATCTGCGTTAGCCACTGAGAACGATTTTGAGCCATGTCACCAATTGTTTCCAACCATAGATTTTTACCGTCCCGAGGACCCCAGCCTGGAAGTCTACACCTTTCTACGTGGCTTAGACCAACTGTTGTGGATTTCATTGACTGATGCCATGTTTTTGTTTGACCGCCGCTAGCTTTTTTCCAGCCTGACCCTATATCCGCTAGCATAGCTCGTCGAGGGAGGCGATGGCTTGGCATACGTAACACATGTCCTAACCATCTCAGTCTTTGTAGCTTCACGACTTCGTCGATTGATTTCCCCTGTTTACCTAGAACTCGACGCCTAACCTCCATGTTGCTCACCTTATTGTGCCACTTTAAGGTGGAAGATAAGCAAAAGACAGACTGTCTTTGACCACTGATATTTACGTTCTATCTCTTGTGTTAAGTCGTATAATATGATGACTAATATTCAGGCTAGACGTAGTGTTGGATAGTGAGGATAAGTCAATCCATGAGGTTGTGAAGCTAAATAGATTTAGTTGGCAGGCTATCGCCTTCTTCGACAGACAGACATACATGTTAACAACTAATATAAGATTGGGTTGGAAAAGAGTTATATAGGTTGGTTAGATCAAAGTCTGTCATCAATCCATGAAATCTGTGATAGTCAGTTGGAACACATCAGGTAGGAAGGTGCCGATTGTCTGGTTAGCAGCTGGGGTCCTCAAGATTCTTAAGAACTAATGACTGGAGACTGTTGGTGATATGGCGGCTCTCAAAGGCGTAGATGCATTCAGTCTTCATGATCTCTCATCCCCCACTAAAAACCGATATGTTTCTCCATGTTACTGTTTATTATAGTTCGTTTGAATTCTTCTCTTTTCTGTACATTTGTGTACTACATCGGATGTGGTAACTTTGAACTGGGGCATTTCTGTGGAAAGTTCTATTGTCAGTTCTACCAGCGGCTAGTCAGTTAGTCACAGTGTTGTATAAATCAGGTTGGAATTTATTCCCCTCCCATTTTACTTTTCTACATATGTAATCCATACCATAGTGGATTCTGAGGGGAGGGGAACGCTGAAACTAATTCAAATGACGCACGCTCAATCAAATTGGAATTAAATATGTATGTAAACAAGGAATAAATGTATTTACACAATAACTACAATTACGTAACACACACACATATATATGTAATTTATGCAAAAATTAAAACGCATAGAAAGTAAATCAATAAATAAGAATGACGACCAGAAAAAATAATACATGTATATATACAATAAAAATGTAAATAAAAAAATCAATAACCAAACATTATTATTGATTATTTTAGTATAGAAAAAGAAACATCACAGTTTCTCACAATTGCAAAATGAAATAGCATCACTTTGTATTTCATACAATGCGGATCACATCATCCATCAGTCAGTCAGTTGCACAGATCAACTTGAAATGACAATGGTCAATGATAAACACAGGGGGGAGGGGGTGGAGGGGGGGATTGAAAGGCGAAAATTTCTTATACATAGAAAGCATTTATTCCAAACATGTGAGTATCGAAATTTCCAGTTTGAGTTTGAGAAATCGAAAGGGGGCGGGGCGGGGTGGGTTGAGGACGAGGAGGAGGAAAAGACAGAAAACAATAAACAGACAGATAATAAATAATTCAACACTCTTCAGACAGCTTATAAGATTACATGACACAACTCGACAAAATTACACTTCATAAGCTGGAAATCAAGTAAGTGAAAGAAAAGACCGACTCAAATCACCACTAATATGGATGATTATACACTCAGATGGAGTCGAAATCGGAAGGCAAGTTACCAAAAAGGCAGTGAGAGACAAGGAGAGAGACTGAGAGATTGATCACACTCCTTTTTTTGTATAATGTACACTAAATACGTTTGCTTGAAAACGACGTTTCATTACAATCGACATTTGGAGATTTCGATTAAAATGTCCTAGAGTCTTGTTGTAAATAAATATCTACACCTAAAATTCATTTCAGGTAATCGACACAGCGGATGATGAGAACATAGTGTCAAGTGGACTGCTTCCTCAGGTTTATTGATTTCCCCTTCTTCTCCTCTCTCTCTCTCTCTATCGAATATCTTCTGCACATATCACACGATGGACTAATTCTCTGAAGGATAAACCTTTTGAAAACAAGGCTTTCCGTACTAGATGACTTTCAGCATACATTTCATGGAAATCGATTCTTGTCAGCTAGAAAGTACACACAAAATGAAAATAAAATCAATCAAAAGGAAAAAAAATACAGAACAGTGTAGAATAAAAATAACAGATACCGGAATCCAGATGGAGAATGAGGATAAATACTTGCCAATGACAGTGGCTGGTGTTCAAGCTAAATTCACAATGGACTGACCATTGGATGGGCCGGATTCCAGTGGATAAATCCTCTACGAGCTCACCTTATATCCAGAAAGACTTAGGTTCGAACCCTGAGATGTGGGCTTGTACTTCTCCTCCTCTATGAACTCAGAAGAAACAGCTGTACAGTACTCCAAGTTGCTATTCAATGCTTCTCTAACTGACATCAATCTGTGACAGAAATTCAAATAAGCAGAATCCCTATAAACTGACGCTAAGTGGGTTCATCATTCCTTTCAAGATGGAGGTCGTCCACCAGCTTAGGCTATGGTTCCCTTTATCTTTCAATTTTGAGCTGACAAAGAAAAGATGATGACGATGATGATGATCTGAAGACAACTGTAAAACACGATCACTGTTACCATTGAAGCTTGAACAAGTAAACTACTAAACAGCCTCTGATACAATCCCAGTTTCTTATATTCGTCCGATCTTTAGTCATTTTGGAGCGTAAGCTGAAACCTATGAAAATGAGACGATAAGTATCATAACTTTTACTACACTGACTCCTAGTTTAGAAATAGGGAGTGAAGAGGTACAGCACGTTGACCGCTCTAATTATTTGGGAAGTTGCGCGTCAGCCAACTCCAATGAGTTGATCTCTGACGAAATCTCAGTACGGAGGGCTAGTTTCACATATGCCGGTTTACGCCGTCTCTGGCGTAGACGTGATATCCGACCAAAGGGCAGATGTACTGCTCAACAGTCCACTCCCTACTCCTTTATGGCTGTTAGTGAGACCTGGCCATTGAGAGTGGAAGACATGAAAAGGCCAGTTAGCTGTCTTTGATCATAGGTGCCTGCGTTCTATCTCCCATGTGTGTTAAGTGGTATAAAAGGGTGAGCAATATTGAGGTGAGACATCGGTCGAGCGCTAGGTAGGTGAGAGGGAAAATCAATAGCCGACTGAGATGGTTAGGATATGTGTTACGCATGTATGCCTAGCCATCGCCTTCCTCGACAATGGACAATTTTAGCTGACTGACATAGGGTCTGGCTGGAAAAGAGCTAGCCAGCGACGGTGATATGGCTCAAAGTCGTTCTCAATGACCGGCGCAGATGCATCCACTCCTTGTGACTTATGATTTCCAATGAAACCATATTGTTCTTCATTATTACCCTTCCTTTGTCTCACACCTCTGTTTACTGTCTCTATTTTACATTCCTTTTTGCTTTCTTCTCTTTCTCTGTGTGCTACAAGGAGGGAGTGTGGTGACTTGAACTGGTGCACATCAGTGCAAAGTTCTATGTCGAAAACAGACAGATAGATAACTTTTACTTCTTTCCATTTTCTAGTATCTGTTAACACAGACACCGCACACACACACACATGCAGCAATCCACTGGGATCCAACCAAGTAGCGATTTTTCTACCCTACCAGTTGATCTGATTCCTACGTTACCCACTCATCGCCAACCAACCGAAAAATCGATCTCTTCCTGACACCCGTAACATGAATTTTACACATTCACTGTCATGTTGGTCAGGTGGAGTAAAGTGATACAACATTCTTGTGTTTGTTATGCATCTCTCCAAAACACAACGTATATGCATGCATAGCTCGAGATAACAGATTTCTGGCTAGAGATGCCTGATGTCCAGTTTGGTAGATCTTAACGATAAAAAGTTGGTAGCATGCTTTCATGAGACTATCAGTAGTGCTTTCCCACCTTTTGTCACTATTATTGACCATGGAGTTGACAGAAGGTGATCGACCGATATACCTGTGAAGTAATATTCACAATGGAAGGAAAGCAAAAGATGGTAGGGGTGGGTGTTGATGACTGGGAAAACCTTTTATCTATAATGGAAGAGTTCTGGGCGGTTATTACTTTCCCAAGTACCCTGACAACAGATGTTGATTTCTTCTCCAAAATAACATCAAATGAAAATAGCAGTAGTGTTGAGTGACCGAGGTACCTAGAGAACAACTGCTTGACGCTGGTCTCACAAAGCCTGTTTCACGTGGTTCTTGCAGTGATCTCCGTATTAAGGACATACAATCGGTTATGGACTAATGCAATTTATGGGGTCGACGTTTTATCATCACAGTGTCTCTCCCACAGAGGATAAGTAGAACAGTTGGCTTATTGGCCATCTTATGGAAACACCTTACTATTGATTGTTACATATCTATTACCCATCAGCAGAACATCGCTGTCATACCCCCCCGCCGCCAGTATAGTGTAAACCACTTACACTATATGACTGCGACTTCTGTTTATATTCTGTCTGTTTTCGACATAGAACTTTGCACAAATGTGCGGAAGTTCAAGTCGCCACATTCCGTGTAGCACGCGAAGCAAGAGAAGAAAGTACAAGAAAAGCATAATAGAAACAGTGAGCAGAGGTGTGAGACAAAGGAGTAATAAAGAAATACAAAACAGTTTCATTGAAGATCATAAGTCACAGGGAGTGGATGCATCTGCGCCACTGAGAACGATTTTGAGCCATGTCACCAATTGTTTCCAACCATAGATTTTTACCGTCCCGAGGACCCCAGCCTGGAAGTCTACACCTTCCTACGTGGCTTAGACCAACTGTTGTGGATTTCATTGACTGATGCCAAGTTTTTGTTTGACCGCCGCTAGCTTTTTTCCAGCCTGACCCTATATCCGCTAACATTGCTCGTCGAGGGAGGCGATGGCTTGGCATACGTAACACATGTCCTAACCATCTCAGTCTTTGTAGCTTCACGACTTCGTCGATTGATTTCCCCTGTTTACCTAGAACTCTACGCCTAACCTCCATGTTGCTCACCTTATTATGCCACTTTACACGGGAAATAGAACGCAGGCACCTATGATCAAAGACAGCTAGTCTTTTCATGTCTTCCACTCTCAGTGGCCAGGTCTCACAACCATAAAGGAGGACGGAGCGGACTGATGAGCAGTACACCCGCCCTTTGGTCGATAGTCGAACATCTCGTCTACGCCAGAGTCGGCGTAAACTAACAAATGCGAAACGAGCCCCTTGTATTCGTGCTGAGATTTCGTCAGAGATCAGCCCGTTGGGGCTGATGGTACTTCCCAAATAAGTGAAGCGGTCAACGTGCTCTACCACTTCACTTCCTATTTTTAAACTAGGCGTCGATGTAGTCCAGTCCTGTAACATCATCTTGCATTTGGCGGGAGCGAATCGCATGCCAAACATTCGTAGATTGCGGCTCAAGGTGTTTAGAAGACTCTGCATTTCGTCAGCGTCTTCGCCTAGAAGGACTATATCGTCTGCATATTCCAAGTCAACGAGATTATTCCCCGGTAGCAAGTCAATCCCTGAGTCGCTGAAGTCACCTAGGGTTAAGTCCATTAACACATCTATGATGAAGTTGAATAGAAAAGGAGATAATGGGCATCCTTGACGGACACCACTGGTCGTCATCAGTTCAGATGACAGCTCGCCGTAAGCCCTCACCTGGCTGTATGAGTACGAATAGAGTGCCTTAATCAGTGCAATATATTTTCTTGGAATTCCCTTTACAGCCAAGCATCTCCAGAGAACTTCCCGATCGACAGAGTCGAATGCTGCCTTTAGGTCAAGAAATATAATGACTGTTGGACGCCGGTAGGAATGCCTATGTTCTAGAATCTGTCGGAGGGTGAAGATATGATCAATACACCCTCTTCCTGGTCTAAAGCCTGCCTGGCTCTCTCGTGTTTGTGCTTCCCGAGCACCACTCAGTCTACGCATGATTATTGAGCCTAAGACTTTAGATACTATATTAGTCAAGCTAATCCCTCTGTGATTATCACAGGAAGACTTGTCTCCCTTCTTGTATATGGGGATAATCAGTGACTTACACCAACCCGATGGGACTTCTTCTGATTCCCAGACGCTGCCTAGTACCTCAGTTAATCCGGACAGTAAGCTGTCTCCACCGTACTTAAATACCTCTGGAGTCATTCCATCAGGTCCCGCTGCTTTGCCTAGTTTCAGATTGGTGACAGCTTTAGTAACCTCAGTTAGTGACGGAGGACCTGTGTCTATATCCCATTCAGGGAGGTGTTGGATGCTCGGAAGGTTGAGCGTGGCTGTGGGCAAATTAAACTGCTCCTCATAATGCTCTTTCCAACGATCCAGTCGTCTATCCTGGGAGCTAATTATAGTGCCATTTTTTTCCGAGATTGTCTCACTAATGATTTGTCTTCTCCCACCCGTTTCCCTGATGAGTCCAAAGAGTTGCCTGGTGTTGCCTATCCTCGAAGCTTTCTCCATCTCTTTGGCTTTTGTCGCCCACCACTGTTCACGGTCCTTGCGGAGACTTTTCGTAAGTTTCCTCTTGTGCAGCTTTCGCTCCTCATTGAATTCGGAGCTCGCCGGAATAAGTCTTCTAGCATCTATCAGTTCGGATGAGGCGGTGGAGATCCAGTGGTTTTTACTCACCTTTGGGTTTACCTTATTCACAGCTTTTACAGCTGTATCTATGGCTGCCTGGATATTTTTCCAAGCTTCTTCAGGGTGAGCACAGCTGTCGAACACAGATATGTGTTTAGCTAGTTCTTCCTCAAATACGGATTTAGTTTCCTGATCGAGCTGGGGACGTGATGGTTTTACCGCCAGCTGTTTCCTACGTCCGTTCAGTCGTAAGCACACCCGAGCGCGGACCAGTGCATGGTCGGTATCTACGCACGTGTTCCAGAAGGAGCGACAATCTCCTACCGACCCACGCCAACGATAGCTTATTGCTATGTGGTCTATTTGTGTCCAGCGTTGGTTTGATGAAGGGGGTCTCCAAGTCAAACAGTGTCTCTCCTTGTGTTTAAAGTTAGTGCTTACAAGAAACAAATGATTATCAGAGCAGAACTGTAGGAGACGGTCACCGTTGTCGGTTCGCTGGCACGGAACTCCATAGGTGCCACCGACATCCTTCTCAGATTGACACAATTTCCCTACTTGAGCGTTAAAGTCACCAGCTAGAACGACTATGTCTGAGCGTTTAGCCTTTCCACCAAACTAGACAGCTTTTGGTAGAACTCATCCTTCGTTTCATCTGAACTGCAGTCAGTGGGGGCGTAGGCGGAGATTACGAAAAGGCATCGGCGAGTAGTGCAGTCCTTCCTCCTTCTTACTGATCCGTTCAGGCGGACAGCACACATTCGGCTATCTACCGGGATCCAGTCAAGCAATGTCTTTTCTGCCCTAGTACTCAAAGCTATCCCTACGCCAGCTAATCCTCGTGAACTAGCTGTGGCATCTCCTGACACCCTCAAGGTGAATTTTGCAGATTCAACCTGTTGGCCAGGTGGGGTTAGGTGAATAACCACACTTGGGTCTTGTATGCGTGTTTCTGAAACACAGCATACATCAATGGCTCGTGATGCCAGGGTCTTGGCTAGTGATGCTTGTTGTCCTATTTGGCAAAGTGTCCTAACATTAAGAGCTCCTATATGAAATTGGTGGCGCGGCTTTAAGAGGCTGTCGGTGGTGGTTTTTTGGCTTCCATCGTTTTTAGTGGACGCAGAGTGGAGAGGAAGTGGAGAGCTATCAAGTCGAGGAGTTGCATCAGTGGAAGGAAGGCAAGATGATAGAGATGAAGATGAAGACAAAGATGAGTGAGTAATAGAGAGGTTTCGTGTGCATTTCGGATTGTGAGGGCGATTGTTACTTCCCGGCTGCCCACACCGTGGAAGTTGGTTGCGTGACCGCAGAGCCCAGGGGACAACTGCTTGAGGCCGGTCACACGCGGCCTGTTTTTGTTTGTTCTTTTTTGTTTGGTGTGTCTCAGTAGCAGATTTATCACTCCCGCCCTGTGACACGGCAGCAGGAAGCGCGGTCGTTGTTAATCCGGGCCACGGCCGATCCGGCATGAAATTTTGTAATTTTGTATTGGACATGATGTTGGATTGGGTAGCTGCTTTTTGTTTAACCGCTATCCAAACAACCTGCCTGGCATGGTAGAACCTCAAGAGACATAAGTCTCAGCCAGTATAGCTTGATTAGGTCATTGCGGTGTTCAAGCCCGACCACCACGTCAAGGTAGCAGCTTTCGGTCGGGTGTTTATATTCTAGCCGCTATCAATCAAAACGACCTTTCTGGCACCAGTGGACCTACAGAAAAAACACCCGTTGGGTCACTTCGATAAACACAGGCCTGACCCCCACCATGAGTCAATAAAGTATCTATGGGTCAGAAATTCAACCATTTCATTTGGAAATCTATTAATATTGCATTGACTGGTGGTTAAGCTCGCTATATATCGACAAATGGCACAAAGTTGAATTCATGCGACATTCAATTGGGTCTCATTGGATGAAGGGTCTACGGGCTAGTCATCTTCTAATCCGAAAGTACTCGGTTCCTTCCACGCTATGTGAGCGCTTCCTGCCGAAGAGTCGCAATACTCCGCTACCAGGTTTTCCAATGCCTCTTCCCTAACTCATATCAGTCAGTTAGTCATCAAATCTGTAAATATACAACATCTTAAGTCAATAAACAATATTAATTAGTGAACATTTTGCTTACTTTCAATCGTAAACACTTGAAATGCTTCGAGTTCATTTTAGGCGCTTCTATAATTAGTTTAGCTGAAGAGAGAGAGAGAGAAAAAAAAGTCAATAATAAACACAATCGCTTTCATTGAAACTTATACTTATACTAATGGAATACTGATTATTTATACAGAGGTAATCATGAAAACTGAAGACCACTTCATTGCTTATAGTGTAACGCTTTAGATTCGAAATTCACCATATATATAAACACAGTTATAGTTATACCTGCGATAATAACGTAATTCTTGATGATGTCTTGTTTGCTTTCAACAAATGCCATCCTTCTTTACAATTCAGCATAGAAAAGGAATCCGAACTAAGTATTCCGTTTCTTGATGTGAGGTGTCTTAGCAGATGTTATGACGGATCTCTCAAAAGATCCATCCACCGGATATGTACATGGAATGGACAACTAACTAATTTTTATAGTTGGGTACCTATCTCCACGGAAAGGGATCTGGTTCATTTGCTCTGCTTTAGGGTAAGAAACATTTGCTGTTCTGATTGTGTTGACTCAGAACTTGACTTCCTAAAAGTCACGCTCACAGAGGACGCTTGCCCGGATCGATTTATTGACAGTAACACGAAATATAACCAGTCTAAACTGGTCACCGACTCATTTCCAAAGAAAACCTTATTCATGAACTTGGAATTGAAAGGTGATCAAGCTTCAGATATGCTCAAAAATCGTCTCTCTAAAGCAGTCAGTAAGACGTTCTTTGCAGCCGAATTACAAATGACGTTCACTAGCCGCAAGTTGTTCTCCATCTATTAGTACATCCGTCTCCGTTTATTAGTGTCCAATCAAAACTACATCTCCACTTTGTTCTATTTTCTACTCTCCTCTTCAGTTGGCCAGCCCCAGGATTGCACATAATCTCTCACCACCTCTCCACAGGATCTCCTCCATGTCACCCTAGGACTGATGACCTACTCTTTCCATTACGATTCCACTCGAGCAATGACCTGCACATTGAGCGCAATGTCATTCGACGGCATCCTCAGTAGCGTATGCCCGATCCATCCATCTCGATTTTTTCCTACATATTTGTTGAGCAATCGGTTCTCGCCTGTTGGTTTATTCCCAGCCAGAGTTTCTTGTTACTAATTCTTTCTGGCCGTCCCGCCATTTGATCTTCAAAATGGAACCAAAGAAGGCAACTGTTGACAGAAGTCTGAAGTAGCCTGTTCGAAATGTTTTTTTTTTCGTGAAACGCAGTGCAAGTTTCTGATCTGTACAGAAGGATCGATTTGACATTAGTGTGTTGAAAATTCGAATCTTGCTCCTAATGTTGAGTGTAGAAGATTTTGCAAGCTGGTTTCAGATTGATGAAGGTGTGTGTATCTTGCCTTCGAGATTCTGACTTTGACATCTTGATCCGTTCCGCTTATAGGTGAAACGATGCTTCCTTCTCTCCCGTTAACGATGATTGATGCTGGTTGTTGTTGTTGTTGTTGCTGCTGCTGATTGGTTATCTCCATCACCTCCGGTCTCCCCGTGTGTTCACCACCTGCAGTACTGTCACAGTCAGTTTGTTACTTTTTGCCTGTAAGTCTTTAAGTTTGTATGACATTAGACATTTTTTTTTAGATTTACAGCTTGATTCCACACTGTATTTTTGGTACAAGTATGGAATTTTCAGCGGTGGATATCGGTAGCCCGAATTTCGCAGGCCGACCATAGATATATCAGGTGTGCGCCGGCGTGGGCTCGAACCCCGGACCATGTGCATGGTCAGCGAGAGAGTCCTAACCACTGTGCCACCGACGCACATATATCTCATTCCACACGCGGAATCCAGACCTTCTAGAGTCTTCTTATCGATGGTCCAGTGTATTCCTGTTTCTTCGCTCCCAATAGTATGAAGCATAATCTAGTCCATCAAAACACTAAGGAATATCATCGGTAACCACCTGCCTTTTGATTATCTTCAACTCGTACTTTCTCTTCTTTTTGTTTGAGTTTATTTCGTTGGTTAGCAGTAGTGTTGCTAAGAGTAGAATGTAGGACTATTCATTCACATTTTGGTCCTATTCCTCTGTGGGACTCACTCGTGTTCAGCTGGATATCCCTGCATTCCTACTCAGGTGCTTTGACTTTCGAAACTATTGGGTGATGAGGTTTCCATGTCAGTAGTGTTATAACTGCACTGAATTAAAGTAAATCCCCGTCGCCAATTTGTTATAGCTGTAGGGTATTGAATGAAGACGTTTTCACCTTGCTCTGTCTGCGCCTGAACTAATCTGTCTATCTGCTCGTCGTACCTTCCGATTTAGTAAAGCACGCAAATATCAAAAGACAAAGGCTGGACTGTGACTGTGTATTGAAGTGCAACAACGATAAAGAAAACCATGGTATTTATACATTTTACAACAATATGGACAGCTAACAGCATTTGAAATAATTTATCTTAATAGCCAATAACAAAGTGCGTGAGAGATGATAATATACCATATGTGCGAGGTTGACAGTCAGTAACAAAATGTGTGGGAATGATAATATACCATATATACAAAATTAGCAGTCACTACCAGAATGCGTGAGAATGATAATATACCATATATACAAAATTAGCAGTCACTACCAAAATGCGTGAGAATGATAATATACAAAATTAGCAGTCAATACCAAAATGTGTGAGAATGATAACATACCATATATGCAAGTTTAAACAGTCAATACCAAAATATGTGGGATCCTATCAGTAGGAACACCATCTCTCAGCAACTAGTGATCCCGTTAAGTCCAGGTATGATGTGTCCGAAATACAATACTATCTCCACATTTTCCTCTGGATTCCACTTTTAGGTATTACTACGAACCAAGTCAGATGACAGTATTCACACGGGGTACTCGAATTATTCCTACTAGGAGTTGATATGTTGACAACATAGTGACTGAAGATTTCAGCAGAATGCAATCATTTCTATCATACATGGAACTAGCCAGCTATCTAACCACCTTCCAAATAGCATAGATGAAAATTGGCTACATTCAATAGAGGTGATAATAGGGAGAAGAATAGCTTTAAGGTGTGGAGAGAATTCTCCGCTAAAATCTACTGGGTTTCTGTCCAGTTCCTTGGAAATTTTAAATAGGGGTCGGTCGATTCCGTCAAACTACATGCATAACAGCATGCAAAAGACCCTCATAAAGGGAATATCTGTCAGCCTTGTCTACCTAACGACTGTGAAGCCTGGTAATCAGAACGTGCATATGAGACGGGATCAGCAGCTGCATCTCTCAATAACCGGTTAGCCTGTCCCACCTCATCAAAGCCACCGTCATCAAGTAGAATCGTATCAGCGAGACCATCTGTAAAGAGATGCAACGCCAATTACCAACCTGAAAAGTCACCTAGAACTCTGTACACAGCAATTCGGAAAACAGTTTACCTGACACAACAGCCGCAGAATCCAACACCATTGGCAACTACAGTTCTATGGAAATGCATCTTCAAAACTTGTGACAAACTAATGCATGCATTTTCTCACAGAACTCAACACACGCCGTTACCACATCTCATACTCATTCTCTGCCGCGGGGACTCATTACGCACAAATAGACAGGAAGGCACTTGCATTAGTCGACGCAATTTGAAAGTTCCTGAAGACGTCATGCCAAAGGTGATTCACCTTTCTCACAGACCACAAGCCTCTTACTTCGCCGTTTCGATAGAAAGAAAGGCTCCCTTATTCATTCAGGAAAATAGAATAAAACACTCGATAGTCACATTGCTGGTGTGTCACTTCAATATCAAATATCGCCCCGGACAAGGTGTTTCCCAACCACATTCTCTCTGTCTCACGACTAACAGGTGGCTATTCTACCTCAAATGACAACAAGACGTTTATTGCTTCTCTCAAGACAGACAGCTACCCTCACGGTTTTGCTCGCATGAGCTGCTTATGATAGCAGATCAAACAAGGCAGGACACACAAGAACAAATTTTCCTCTACAACAAGCTATGAGTTTCATTCGAAACTTTTGACTACCATTCGCGTCAAAGCATGATCTCAAGGAACTATTCAGTCGGCATCAGGATCCCAATATCACTACTACTGACTACTGACTAGTGTTTCGGTAACAAGTGGCTATATAACTCACACCGTCCGAAATACAGCATTGAAACAGTTTCGTAATGGGCAAAAACAAATTTCACCCATCGAGTCCTATCACCACAAGTCTGTGCATACTGCCCAAGTACGGATTCTCATTGGACTAACAGAATTTGTCAACTGGTTCCAACCATCATATCAAGTCGCCGGCAAAAACCCACTAGGAGAACAACTCAAACTATGGCCGCCAACACACAACCGTTAATACAACCGAGTAGTTTACGAGTCTCCTGAACTGGTGAGCTTCCTACTCGGTAGATTTCCGAAACTACACAGTTCCGACCACCCTTCTCCTAACAACAACTTCCTACAAAATGATACCACCGACACGTTATATGACAATGTCTAAAGGAGAGAAAATGATCAACCAAATATATAAATCAATAAATGTTCATCAATATAAACTCACTTTTATAGTAGGGACTATTACATGTCCATAACACGATTGATTCCAATGGAAAGTCCATAATAAACCAGACTGTACATTTTAAAATATTCTTTACAAGTAATAAAAATAACTGGATCTGTAGTAAAACAAACAACAATAACGAAAACACATACAACAGATCAGGCAAATGTAAAAATAAAATAAATAATGATAATAGTGATAGTGATGATGATAATAATAATATTAATGACGACATGCGTGTCAAATGTGCTCAAAACAACACCAACAATAAGGAATCCAAATCATCAGTAGTAATTCCATACAAGGAAGGAAACCACATTACGCAGAATTCTTAACAAAGTAGGCAGTAATAAAAGTGGTTGGGATTCAAACCCACAAACTCAAGGATACTGCCAGTGGAGCCTTCAAAACAAAACAATTTAGTTTATCTAATACCCTGCTGGAATGATTGTCAAATCAAATATATAGGTCAAACTAGTAGAACAGGGGCGGTCAGACTAGCCGAGCAGACTAGTGGAGCACAAATAGCCTAGCAGCAAAATCTAGATTGGTTGACCCAAATAAGATAAGAAATCTAGAGAATAGTTCAGCTATACCACTCACTACATGCAGTTACACACAACCATACAGGAGGCTGGATGGGATAGGATGACAGTTTTAAAATCTAATCTCATGTCACAGGATGGAGGGATAGATTGATAACAGAAGCCCTGTTTATCGAATCAACTACAAATACGTGTAATAAGAATGATTCAACACCGGTCCAGCCGGATATCTGGAAAGTTCTACTATCCCTACGACGACAAATAGGAGAAGACATATAAAACTATAAAAGTCCAGTTTCGAAGTCGTGTGATTATAATTGATGAAATGATTATGAACAATAAATTGTGTTCGAAACTGTGTCATCCAGTAAATAATACTACGATTTGCCGCAGTGATCGCAATCAAACGATTCACATCAACCAGACTTATGCATACACTACCTTGGTAACTGGATTTTGATTATGATGATTACAATAATTAGTCATTTAATTCAATGATCTCAACTCACTGAACAAATCTTAATCTCATAAACTGTAACCGCTTTTGTTTTTTTTTGTTTTGAGTTGCTATGTGAACCTACAAGCTAACATTGTTCTGTTAATCAATTTTTTCTGTTTTCTGTCTTACCCCTCCCCCCCCCTCTTTTCAACTTTAAAAGTGTAATAAATTGATGATGAAAACTTAAACTAAAAAAGGTTGTAATGCTGCTTTCATTTTGGATGCGTCAATTTTATAGTATCTCTTCTCTACTACCACTTAAACATCAAAGTATGTTATTATCATCCATATAACCATTGTAATTTCAGGTAGTTAACGACAGCTGATGAAAGCCTGTGAAATAGAATGATGATATCACATTTTATACCGCAAATTTCGTCTTCCTTTCTTTATCGAAATTTATCAAGGGAACCAAATGTATCAAATAATACCGTTTCGTCTAATAAATAAACTAATATGAAATCTGTCTGTCTGTTTGTCCGTCTGGATTCAACATAGAGCTTGGCACCGAAGTGCAGCAGTTCGAGTTGCCACGTTCCAAATATGGAATAATAATAATAATAATAAAAAGCTTCATGCGAATAAGAAATGCACTTTCAACTTACACATGTAAAGGTAATATAAAATGCTATTGTCGTCGAGAATAAACACAAACCAATACCAAGACCTAATAAAGTCGACACCAATAAACGATCAAGGTAGACACCACATTTTTGTCTCGTCAATTGATCGAATAACATATCAGAATTTTGTTTATTTGTGACAAATTTATACAGCGTATCTTCTTCTTCTTCTCCACCTCTCTTCTTTTTGTTTTGAACAACAACAACAACACGTTGTTCTGACGACTTCTTTGTCCCCTGCACCACCACCTGTTCGCCGTCGTCTCCCACATATGACTTCTTTTCCTGTCCATAATCTTCTCCACGCGATGATGATGATGATGACGGCGATGATGAAGGTGCTGAATATAACGATGCTAATGATGATGACAGAGAAATTTTCTTTTGTAATGAACTAATCGATAAGAGGACTTCATTTGGATCGATATACATATCAGGTATTTTATCAACACGATGACGTAATGGATTCCATTTAGAACTATTACGGCATAGACGCCATGAAGCAGATATTGTTCTTAATTGTAATCGAAGAAGGCTGAAATGATGATAATAATAATCATTATAACAACAAAAATTTTCTATAGTTTGGTTTACGTTATGTTTTTTCGACTTGATCATGGATTGATATCAATTAGAGAACCATTGAAAACCACCACTGGAGTACTGGACAGCTGTTGTTTCATCCTAGTGCTTGGGAATCATCGGCAGTATGCATCCACTGGGATTCGAACCCAGGACCTTCCGGTTACAAGGAGAGCTGGTTCGTATACCATTCAGCCCGATTCAATGACCAGCCCATGAATTCTAACTTCTACCAATTCGTGATTTAGCGCGACCCCAACTATTGTCGTTGATGGGACATCCATCCTCACGCGTGACATCTAATTGGACCTCACTGGTCACGACTTCTCACTAGAACTCATGAAACTCCAACCTGTAGCAAGTCACTAGCGAGCATCAGATTAACTTTCTATAGTTTGGTTTGTAAGGGTTAGTTATGTTTTTATGAGTGACTTGCTACAGGATGGAGGGATTTTCCTGAGTTCTAGTGAGAAGCTGTGACCGGTGACGTCCGATTAGATGTCACGTGTGTGGATGGATGCCCCACCAACGACAATGGTTGGTGGCTGCGCTAAATCACGAATTGGTTAGAGGTTAGAATCCATGCACTGGTCATTTAATCGGGTCCCAGTGGCTGAATGGTATACGAGCCAGCTTGCCTTGTAACCGGAAGGTCCTGGGTTCGAACCCCCATGGTGTGGGTGCGTACTTCCGATGATTCCTAAACTAGGATGAAACAGCTGTCCAGTACTCCAGTGGTGGTTCTCAATGGTTCTCTAACTGATATCAACCGTGATCAAATCGTAAAAACAAAAAGATTTTTTATTCATCTAAAGTGTAAACTTTACATTATGGACACTAAAAGATGCGCCATACAACAACAACACATAAAAAGGAAATAGGAAGAGAATAAGTGAATGAGGGACGCCAACTAGAAAGCGAGAAAGCATTCTTGTCACGACCATTCAACCGGTCACCACTTCATGGTATTTTCAGAAAGACAAGAAAGCAGGAAATTGTAGCATGTTCGCAACGCATAGAAATTTTAGACCATATCATCTGATAACGTATCGACCCATCGATATGAACTATCTCATACACCCCAACCAGAGAGGGAGTCGTGATGTACCAACTATTGATGCTAACCAAAAGCAAATACATTCCATTCCAGAGTGTTACTTCATGAACTAACCAACACTCCACCTTTTTATTCTAGTCTCAGGGATAGCGAACGGTAACTGCTACACTAGCCTCTGGGATGACATTCCTAGCAGATGTACAAGCCACCGGAGTTGGTGTTTCAAGATGACTATATTCAATGACTGAGAACCTCCACCGTGTCTAAATGCATGCTTCCAGGAATTCAGAATTTCTTACACGATGATTACATCATTCTACGCGGGCAGAAACCACCGAATACGCACAGTCGCCGCCTAAGCTCATAGAGACCAGATTTCACAGAAATACGGCAAAACTGCGAGCAACGAAGCATTGTAAACTCCACCATTGACAGCCAGGATGATGATGATAATAATAATAATAACTAATTTTTATGATCTACTGATGTAATGGAGCTGTAGTCACAGGAAATGAAGTCTTCACTAAATATTCATAAACAGTCGCCAAGAGAGATGGCAAAAAAACCACGTCAATTCATCACCAAAATAAGGATGGCTCTCACTGACTACAACCAAATTCAATAAATATTTGGACAGAAGTCTCCGTTGACACTTAAATGATAAATGCAGTCGATTTTATCACTTGGAAGTAGACCAATGAGAATTGATGATGAACGCAGTAGCAACACCACCGCTGCATTTCTTCTTACATCTACATCAATCTGTCAGAATAATGTAAAATCTTTCAGGCAGACCAAAAATTGTCATCATATGGATAATGTCGCAATAGCATCACAGGTGGATCGAATTCACGTATCCATCTAGCCCGACCTTTCAATATATCGTTCACTGAAGATATCCTTCGTCACTTTATACTCACACGGCGAAAACAACAAACCATACTTACAGACCCTAACCCCCAGGTGATTCAGTTATAGAGAAATGGAGAGAGATCGACCAACCTTGTCTAGTCCCAGTGTTTGTCGGTCACAGTAGTGAAAGACGGCTGGCTAGTTGTACACCCTCATTCTACATGAGGGTTTCGTTTCGCACATGCGAGTTTACGCCGTCATCTGGCGTAGACGTGATATCCGGCCGGTTGTCGACCAAAGGGCGGGTGTACTGCACTGAAGCAGTCCGCTCCATCCTCCTTTATGGCTGCATTTCATCTGGTAGAACTAGAAGCAGCTATAGGCGGCTATATGCTAGGACTACCAAATACAAAAAGTCCACAATACCATATCTGGCACAGCTGTTATGTGATGAGAAATCCGTTAGGTATGACACGATAAACTTACTGCGGCACTCTAACAAATAGTCCCATTAGTTTTTGTTTTCCTTTCCTCGTTACTACTACACTGTTGTTCTCATTTACTACCACACATCAACTTTATATTTCAAATCCTGTGTTGCATTGTTTGAAATGAAATACTCTACGTTGTTTTTTTTCTTAATTTCTAATATTTATTTATTTTATTTATTTATAACTTAATTATTTTATTTTTATTTATTTATCTTTGATTTTTAAAAATCTTATATAATTTATGAGGTAATTAGATGCAATATACTGTAATGCACGCTGAAAATTCCATACCTGTACCACAAATACTGTTTGGAATAAAGCTATTATTATTATTATTATTATTATTATTATTATTATTATTATTATTGAAACCTAGCCATTGAGAGTAGAAGATATGAAAACGCTAGCTAGCTGTATTTGATCATAGGTGCCTACGTTCTATCTCCCGTGTGAAGTAGTATAATACGGTGAGCAATAGTGAGGTTAGGCATCAGTCGAGTGCTAGGTAAGGAGGCGAAATCGATCGACGAGGCTGTGAAGCTATATCGATTGAGGTGGTTAGGACACGTGTTACACATGCATAACCGTCGCCTTCCTCGACGGGAAATGTTAGCTGACATAGGGTCAGGCTGGAAAAGAGCTAGCCAGCGACGGTCAAACCAAAACATGGCACTAGACAATGAAATCCACAACAGTTAGTTTAAGACAACCAGTCACGTAGGCAGATGTAGACTGGCTTCCTGTTTGGGGCCCTCTGGGCGGTAAAAACCAACGGCTAGAAACAATTAGTGATACGGCTCAAAATCATACTCAACGTCGCAGATGCATCCATTCATTGTGACTTATAATACCCAATAAAACTATATTGTTCTTCGATATTGCTATTCCTTTTGTCTCATATTCCTGTTTACTGTCTCTATTTTTGCATTTCTTCTCTTGCTTTGTGTGGTACATGGAATGCGGCGACTTGAACTGTTGCACATCAGTGCAAAGTTCTATGTTGAAACCAGTCAATCACTCTAAATGAAGAGTTTCGGGATATCGCTTTCAGGATGTTAACAAACTTCTCAGGAACACCACTCTCTCTCTCTCTCTCTCCCTATTTAACAGACACTTCCAGAGAGCAGTTTACTCCAACGAATCGAAGTCAGCCATAAAAATCAAGCAACACAACGAATGTTACCGAAGGGTGAACAATAAAAATTGCAATACGTGGATAGATAAGAAAAACAATCGCCAAAAGTACAACGATTTCTCTCCCCTAGATTCCAACCTCTTAACACATCATGTTAACCGGCAGATATCACACATCAAACCGTCCACATACTACTAGGAACGCATATATCAACCGAAACTACCACCACGACCACCAACCTTTTCAATTTAATATTATTATTATTATTTCCTTTAATTCCTAGAGGAACATAGGGATTCAGCCACGCATCTCCATTGCGTTCGCTTGTCAGCCAACGTTTCCACCTTGCTCCAAGTCTGCCTACACCCTTTCATCTCCTCTTCACATCACCTCCTCCAAGTCACCCTTGCACTGACGACCAACTCGCCGCTTCCCGTTCGGCCGGGTTCCACTCGAGAGCTTGTCTAGTGATGTCACTGGCTGGTTTCCTCAAAGTATGGCCAATCCATCTCCATTTCTTCCCGTTTATTTGTAGCACAATTGGTTCCTGATGGGTTGGTTCGCTCACTACCAGAGATCCCTGTTGCTGATCTTTTCCGGCCGGTCATCTAATCTTGAGTATTGAGCGAAGACAACTGTTAATGAAGGTCTGAAGTTTGTTTGAGATGCTCTTTATGACTCGCCAAGTCTCTGATCCGTATAGTAAGTAGCACTGACTTCACATTGAAGCTGAAAATCCGGATCTTATTTTTGATGATGAGTGCTGTTGACTTCCACACAGACTTAAGAGTAGTGAAACCTTACCTTGCTTTCCCGATCCTCAGTTTGATATCATCGTTAGTTCCATCCGCCAGTAGCTGAAACGATGCTTCCCATGTAGGTAAACGAGTTTGTTTCTTTCAGGTTCCTCCCATTTATGCTGATTGTTTTCTGTTGTTGTTGCTGTTGTCCAGGAATCTTCATCACCTCTATTTGCTTTATGTTCACCTGAACTCCTTACCATCTTTGATGTTTCTTCTGCCAACTTGTTGTCTCTCACTTTCATATCTTCCAGTTCGTGGGAAATCAAACATATATCATCGACGAAGTCCAGATCCTCCAATTTTTTGTATGGGTCCATTTTATGACTGTTTCCTCTCTGCTCGCTGTCAATCGCATTAACCAGTCCACCGTAGTCAGGAAAATCATTGGCGATAGTAGGCAGCCAGCCAGCCTTGTCTCACTCCCGTCCTCACTTCGAAGGATTCCGTAAGTTTCCCATTGTGGATTACTTAGCGGCATGCAGCATTGTCGTACAACTGTTGGATGAGATGTATAATTGTTGGCTGCACCCCTTGGTAGTAAGCGAAGTAGTTTCCAAATCACCTCTCGATCGACACTGTCTGCTGAAGGCCCTTTAAGAATCGATGAAGTTGAGATAGAGAGCTGACTGACTGCCATTACAAGCTTTGTTCAATGATGATCCGTAGTGTGGCGATTTGATCAATACATGACTTGTTTCTCCTGAATCCAGCCCCATTCCGGTCGAAGTTTTTCATCCAGGGCAATTTAATATGCACATAAAGATATCCATAGAGAGACACGGATAAACCCATAGATGCATTAAAACAGATCGATAACAGCATACTTACTGTGTAGCATAGATATAAAAACTCGTCAAATGTAGCGTAATTAATTCAATAATATCCAATAGTAGACAGGTTAGTAAGGCAAGCATTAAACGTAATATTATTGAAAAGTAGATCACGAATACTCTGATGATTAGCGGTAAGCAGATTACGCTCTGTCCACTTCCATTAGAGACTGTTGTCGATGTTGACATTGTTGGTGTCGTTGCCAATAAATAAACTGTACTAAATATTAAACAAATTATCGTTGTTAAATTGGCCAGAAAATAGACATTGAATGTATCCACCTCAGTGAATTGTTGTAATATACTTAATACATGAATAAATAGTATATAGATAATAAAAGTGACATATGAACGCCAGGCTAATATATGATAAAGAAAAAATTGTCCCATTAAGTGAGCCAAATGGAGATTCATTTTTAATCCAGCTGGTTTACCACTTTCAAGCCAAAGTAGCAAGCGGGTTAATTCACAGGTGAAATACTGAAATGAAAGAGGGGGAGACAAAGAGAGAGAATAATGGGGGAGTATTTTTGTAACAAACAATTAAAAATATACACGTATACACAATTTATTCGATAACCAAAAAAGTGGAGCCGGTACAAAAAACAACCTGGGACACTCGAAAGTGTGGGTAGACTTCGGTCTCCCACCTAGAAATATTCTGTGCCAGGAAAGTCATATTCACTGCCGCCTTTACGCGACGGCGGTTGCGGTGTTCCTTGCTGTTATGTACTCGTCGAGTAGTTAATAGTCCGCGGAAAGAGGGAAATCAGAAGACCACCAGGTTTACGATGATACTTGTATTTTCCAGACAAGGAAAATAAATGTCACACAAGTGTGTGAGTGGAAGGGTACTTAGATGTACGAAACGTGGGAACAAGAATGAACAAGAATAATAAAGCAAGAGTATATGTGAAAATTGGCTAATACACGTGAACCAATAAGATAACGTCTTACCATCATTGGTTGTAATGTCATGTGATAATAAGGTCATACATTGTTTATTTAGTTAGTAGACAGACAAAAGCATAATGTCAGCTATAATGGAATATCGATCCATAAACACATAGCAAAATATAATAGACTGTCAAAAACAAAACACACATCATGTGGATACATATCACTTACATAAATGAAAGGATAAATGTGGACGTCTTGCGAGGACAACCACACTGATGAACATCCACGTCTACTTCGGGGGACTGGACCCGACCGATAGCTAGCTACCTTGATGTGGTGGCCGGGCTGGCACATCGCGATGACCCGACAAGCTACACTGGCTGGAACCAGTGTTCCTGCAGGTTCTACCATGCCAAGAAGGTTGTTAGGATAGTGATTAGACTAAAAGCAGTTACCGGCATTGTGTACGAATCTTTCTTACACTATGCTGGGGGTCTCAGGGCAAAGTTGTACTGCTAGGCAACAGGGATGTAACAGCAGTGAGGTGTTTCCCTCAGATGACCAGCATGCCAGCCAGCTATGCTGTCACTCCACTCCGGAGAGAGGGGGTTAGAAAAAGTCGACCCTAAAAATTGTACAACCCGGCTTACCCTACGGTGGTCCGTAACCAGCGGTAAGTTTACTATTACGAAACCAATCCCAGAAACCAGTTCGTACAGGCCGTGTGTGACCGGCTTGGCTCTGCGGTCACGCAACACTAACCCTCTTTCTGTTTCAGGTACCCGAAGTATCAATCAACTTCCACGGTGTGGGCAGCCGGGAAGTAGCGACCACCCACACACTTCCGAAAGCACAGGAAGCCTTCCTGAGCATCATTCTCCTCTAACCACATCCCCTTCATCATCTTATTCCCCTTCTACAGTTAGTAGTATTCTTCAGGTTATTGAGGCACCCTCACTTCACTCTGTGACCATAAATAACGATGAGAGCCGTAAAAACACCCCAGATAGCCTTTTAAAGCCACGTCGCCAACTTCATATAGGAGCTCCATTATGGAAAAGATTTTATTTTGATAAATCACACAGTGTTGTACAGTAATATTGACTGATGACGTTTCGAGCACAAATTATTGCTCATAACCATATCATATGATTATATCTTACCACAGTGCCCAAGTTTGATACTTATATCAATAATTCATATAGGAGCATTTAACGTGAGGACTCTCTGGGCTCAAAATCGTTCTCACTGACTCCTTGTGACTTATAATATCCAATAAAACTATATTATTCTCCGTTATTACTATTCCTTTGTCTCATGTCCCTGTTTACTGTCTCTATTTTGCATTTCTTTTTTATTTTGTTCTATGGCTTTGTGTGCTAAGTGAAGTGTAGCAACTTGAACTGCCGCACATATGTGCAAAGTTCTATGTCGAAAACAGACAGACTCCAACGGAGGAAATCTCAAATTAATTACCTAGTACAGGTCTTCTTATGTACCAGACTATGAGCTATACAGTTATAGCGTGAGGGTTGATAAGATGACTACTCAGTCACCAAGCCTGAAATAGACCAATTCCGCCACATCCCAACCCTGAATCCATCATCCATTGACTGAAAGTCAGGCGGTTATGCTGATGAATTCAATCTCTACTAAATATCTTATCAAAATATTGATTTAATCATCTAAATATTACATTTTAAGGTGATGGAGCATCATTGCATGGCAGGGATGTCCATTATCCCCATTTCTATTCAATTTCATCATGGATGTACTAATGGATATAACCCTAACTCACTTCAGAGACTAAGGGATTAACTTGCTACCAACAGGGAATAATCTCGTTGACTTAGAATATGAAGACGATATAGTCCTCCCTGCTAGGTGAAGACGCTGACAAAATGCAGAGTCTTCTAAACACCTTGAGATGCAATCTACGAATGTTTCGCATGCGATTCACTCCCGCCAAATGTAAGATGATGTTACAGGACTGGACTACACTGACTCCTAGTTGAGAAATAAGGGTTGAAGTGGTAGAACGCGTTGACCGCTTCACTTATTTGGGAAGTACCATCAGCCAGTGCCAACGGGTTGATCCCTGACAAAATCTCAGCACGGATACAGAGAGCTAATTCCGCATATGCCAGTTTACGGCGTCTCTGACGGCTGAATTTCGACCAAAAGACGTGTGTACTGCACCGTAGCAGTCCGCTCCGTCCTCCTTAATGGCTGTGAGCGAGACAGGGTCATTGAGAGTGGAATACATGAAAAGCCTGGCTAGCTGTCTTTGATCATAAGTGCCTGCGTTCTATCTCCTGTGTGAAGTGGTATATTAAGGTGAGCAATATTGAGGTTAGGAATCGGCTAAGAGCTAGGTAGGCGGGAGGGGAAATCATTCGACGAGGCTGCGAAGCTACATCGACTGAGACGGTGAGGACATGTGTTAAACATGCCTAATCATCGCCTTCGTCGACAATGGACAATGTTAGCTGACTGACATAGGGTCTGGCTGGAAAAGAGCTAGCCAGTGGCGGTCAAACCAAAACATGGCTTCACCAGTCAATGAAATCTACAACAGTTCGTCTAATCCACGTAGGAAGTGTATACTTCCTGGTTGAGGTCCTCGGGACGGTAAAAACCAATGGTTGGAAACAATTGGTGATAGAGCTCAAACTCATCGTTCTCAATGGCTAGCACAGATGCATCCACTCCCTGTGACTTATGATTTTAAATGAAACTATATTGTTCTTCGTTATTACTATTCCTTTGTCTCACACCTCTGCTTACTGCCTCTATTATGCATTTCTTCTACTTTCTTCTCTTTCTTTGTGTGCTACATGGGGGTGGGGAGTGTGGCAACTTGAACTGCCGCACTTCGGTGCAAAGTTCTATGTCGAAAACAGACAGACAGTTCTCTTTATCTTCTCCCATTTGTCGTCGTTGGGGTGTTAGAATTCTCCAGATGTCTAAATGGACAGGTGTTGAATCATCCCTATTACACGTGCTGCTTTGCAGTTGATTCAATAAAAAAAGCTTATGTTATCAATGTCTCCTTCCATTCACCCTGTTACATTAGATTAGATTTTAAAACTGTCATCCTATCCCATCCAGCCTCTTGTATGGTTGTGTGTAATTGCATGTAGTAATGTAATGTAACAACTTGATGGAAGGAGAGATTGATAACGGAAGCTTTATTTATCGAATTAACTGCAAATCAACACGTGTAATAAGAATGATTCAACACCTCCCCCCCCCCCGGATATCTGGAAAATTCTACTACCCCTACGACGACAAATAGGACAGAACAAAGAAAACTATAAGAGTCAGGTTTCGAAGTCGTGTGATTATAATTGATGAAATGATTATGAACAATAATAAATTTTGTTCGAAACTGTGTCATCCAGTAAATAATACTATTTCACTCACTGTGTGATATATCTAATAAACAAACTAATAATCTTAGGTGAGTCGGTGGTATAGCGGTTAGGACACTCGCCAACCATGCACATGATCTGGGGTTCGATCCCGGCCACAGACGCACTCCTTCACCTCACTAAGCCAGAAATAATAATGGTAAAGAGGAAAGGTTGGGCATGAGGCTAGCAACCCCATCCTGGAAAAATAAACACCACTGCTACAGAAACTTCAAGCCACTAGCTTGAAGCCCCATGTTCCACTGGGGAGCGTGAAGGAAAAAAAATATATGGAAGCAATGCTTTACAAATATAAAAACAAAACGAAACAACATAAAATGACTAATACTCACTTCAACACATCGATACAAGAAATTCATCCAACAACAACGATCTTCAATTTTTCCTGATGACGCCACATACTTGGTAATTTCATTTGTAGAATTATACAAGATTAAAGCAGGTAGATAAGTCGATGCCAGTGCTGAAAACCAAGATGACGATGAGGATACTACTGTCAGCGATGATGACGATGATGGAGATAATTTTGATGTGTAATTCTCTTCTTCTTCATCTAAATAAAATAATCCCAATGTTGGAATAATTTTACAATTTAAATCATTCGGTAACCAGTTCACAGGGCTACTACTGTCATCTCTGTTAGTAGTAGTATGAAGAAATGATGGTAAAAGTGAAAGACTTGAAGTGGTATATTCACGACAACAACGACGGGGAGGAGGAGACGATGGAGATTGACGCGTCGGCGATGGTGTTGGTGATGGTGGTGATTCTTGTATGCAACATTTTCTCTTATTCCCCATATCATTCCCTATTTCATTATCATCGTAGTTATAATAATGAGAGCTGTGATTGTGATTATTGGTACTTTTGTATGGAACTGTAATTAAGCATAAAACTAGGATCAATAATTGGATAGCACCGATCATGCTTAGACTAGCATCTGGGATTAAACATGACACATGATACGGACGGATACTTCGCGTTGAGGAATCAACACTGACATTATCCTTTTCCTTCTTCTGTTGTATACTATTATTATTACTGTCATTATTGTTCTTCAAAAGATTCGTTGAACACTTCTTCACCGAGGATGTTATAGAAGATGACGACGGTGGCGGTGACTTAGCTGTATCAAAATGGTATTTAATTAGAGACAGGGTATAACTGAAATTGACACATTTATTGATAATTTTTGTGCAACATTGCATTATTGAAGTAGTTGGAAGGAAGTGTCTCCTCTCTGGTTGACAACTAAAAACAATAAAGAAAAGAGGCGAAATATTTAAATATAGAATAAAAAAGAACAACAAACACACATATATATATTCCTTCTCAAACTCTTTCCAACATTTTTGGTGAGCAGAAATCATCGAATGTTTGACATGTGATTCGATGTTATCAGATATAAGATGTGACGGCATGACTCGACTACACTGACTCCTAGATTAACTCCATGGAGTGGGGTGATTGCGCGTGTTGACTACTTCACTTATTTGAGAAGTTGTATGAGTCCTAATCAACTAACTAACTAACTGATTTCTGAAGACTGGTTACAGGGTTTCATCATGAGCTGATATCGGTTAGCGAACCGTTGGAAAACCTGGGAGTACTGGACAGTTGTTTCATCAGTCTAGTTTTGGACTCTTCAGCAGTACGCACCCACCGGAGTTAGAACCCAATACCTTCTGGTTACAAAGCGAGCTCGTAGACCATTAAGTCACTGGGCCACGATCCAATTACCAGTCCATGAATTCTAACTTCTGCCAATTCACGATATAGCGCAACCGCAAGCCAGTGTCTTCGGCGAGTATTTGTCCTAACACACCACCTGCTGCACCCTACTGGTCACGACTTCCCACTAGAACCACCAGGTAACTACCTACCTGAATAGAGCCAGTCGCCAATGAGCATCTCATTTATATTCAACCCAGTGGGTGCGGAGTGCTGAAGAGTCCCAAACTGGGACGAAACAGCTATCCAGTACTCCTAGGTTCTCTAACCAATGCCAGATCAGGATGAAATCCTGTAACCAATCAACTAAATCCCTACAAACCAATACTTGATTTCTGAAGAATTTCCATACGACGAATAAAAAAGGCTTGTGTGCCGTTCAACAACTTACGTCACCTCTCTCCGACTGGCTATCGGTCAAAGGAAATGTCGTCCACTACACTGCACTGCACTGTACAACAGTTACCTCTTTTTATGGTTGTCATAAGTAGTGTCATTCAAAGTGGAAGATAAAAAATGGTTAGGCATGCAGTGTTAGGTAAGGGGGAGGGGGAAAAGTTAGTCGGTGAGGCTGTGACAATATATCGACTCAGTCAGATGGTTAGGACATGTGTTACGCATAATGAAACATCGCTATCCTCAACCAACAGTCTTGCATCACATAGTGTTGAGTTGGTAAAGAGTTAGGTGTGGTCAAGTGAAAACCTGGCATCTCTATCCATGATGTCTGGTTGGCGTCCTCAGAATGTTAAGAACCAGTGGCTGGAAACTACTGGTGGTATGGCTCAAAATCACTGTCAGTGGCGCAGATATATTCAATCATTGTGATCACCCACCAGCACCACCCTCGATAAACAGTAATTGGAACTGTAGATCATTGGTCTAGGCACTTGACTTTCAACCAGTCAGTCAGTGGGTCACAGTGATCACCGCCTACAGAGATTTGATCGATCACTCATACACACACACACACAAAATAGGCGTGTAAGTCATTCCCACTTGTATGGAAATGCAAGTGGTAGTTACGAAACACTCAACAGTTTATTATCCATCGTCACACTTGACACCCATATTTACACACACATAGAGGCGGCCTTCCAGCTGGTGAAGGTCAACGGTAGTTTCCCTCCACGCCGAAAGAACAACACCTCTTACCAACTCATTTTTTAGGAGGAGGATTTTCAAGCATATCTGAAGCCTGATCAAATTCATTAAGATGGTTTTCTTTGCAACTGTTAATCAGTTAATCGCCAGTTTTCAATGTTTATCCTTCGTGTTTTCTTTTTTCATCAACACAAGTCACAGTTCACCGGCTTTAGTCGAACAAGTCGAACATCAGCCGTAGCCAGAGAATACTTTCTATCGAAGAGGATAGGTTAGTCCATTCCAGCATGGCTTTCACAAGGAACAAATGGAGGGTAGGAGAACCTCTATTTTTGAACAATGAATTAAATTATTTAAAAGGATAATTAATAAGTGATCAATCTGAGAATAGCCTCCGAGATGTTGACAAATCTTCATGGCTAAATATATATGTCAATATTAAGAAAGTACTACTCATCGAGAGTTGAAGTTTCTACCGACGAACGTTTCAATGTCATACTGAACACCATAATCAATTCGAATTCAAAAATACACGACAAATAAAAGAAAACACTTGTCAAATTAAATTCACCTTACTTTACTACTTTATGTTGATGTTGAATAGAAGAAGGCCAGTCACCACCATCATCAGTACCCCCGGAAGATTTATTCAACCATTGAATCAGGTGATTTAACGGCTGACCAATTTCATTTTGCATAATACTGCACATCCATCGATTGAATGAATCGCCTTCAGACGATGATTTATCGACTGGGTAATTAAATCCCCTAGCATATTTCATCATAATACCATGTTTCAATGAGGATGGTAGTGTGTTCATATCTATACTGATCCATATGTTTGATGCATTATTGTAATTATCCGACAGAGGGTTGTATTTCTTAATGTATGAACTAGAGACAGAGAGGGGGGAAGGGGAAGATAAAGAGAAGGAAACAAATAGATTAAAGAAAGTAGGATAATCACTTTCATCTAATGACCAGGTTTCTCATCGATTAGTCTACCTAGGGGAGCTGGAAAACCCTGATCCCAGAATCCCATTGGATTGAATGGCGTATGATGAACCTGTCTTAGCTACCGCAAGGCATGGGAACACACTTCCTGACGCACAGCTCCACTCACTACCTTTTGTCAGGATCAGATTTCAAGTCAGTGAAGGGTGGTCCGCTGAGACAACCACCTGCTTCGGTGTGGTGGGCATCCGATCAGTACACCAGCCCCTACACAAACTATGACATTTTGTATGGTGCGTCTCTCCGTGCCCACAATGCACCAAATTCGTGTTTTAATAGTGACAATAATAGTATTCAAAGTGTCTTCAAATAAATGACCTGTCCATATCCATCCTGTGATGTTTCCACGCTTTCTACAAATTCATACCAATTGGGCGTAAGTCATATTTCATTCTACCACTCACTAATTGCATATGCAATCCTGACGCTATGGAAAAATAGTTAAATCTTCTAAAAAAAAAGTGGCGTACTGATCAAAAATGGATGCCCACACTGTTTCATGGGTCAATAAATCTAGAGAACCAACACACAGGATAGGCTGCATACGACTGACTCACCGGCTGGTTGACATAGTTTTAACACAGAAACACCCACATGCACCTCGAATTTAAATGTGACTTAGCTGCAAACATTCATAAAAGAAGAATGTGCAAGTCTAAAAAAGGTAATCACTGTAGCACATCACTGAAAGTGTTCTTCAACTCATCCTTGCTTGAAGGACACGATCACTCACTTGATCCGCACCATTTTTTCAAACCATTTTAGAACAACACACTTAAACGAACAATATTGTGTTTTGAATTAGATCTCATCAGGCTTAACTTTAATATGCCTACATAACTTTACAAATAAAAATTCAAATATAAACCAATCGTGATTTTTTGTCTATAGGATAATACGATGGTGAATATGAATTGTGCAATTAGTCATAATAGTAGCGATGATAATAGTAATAATAATAATAATAATAATGGTTTTATCAATAAAGGCGTCGGTGGCATAGCGGTTAGGACACTCGCCAACCATGCACATGATCCGGGGTTCGATCCCCGGCCACAGACGCACTCCTTTACCTCGCTAAGCCAGAAATAATAATGGTAAAGAGGAAAGGTTGGGCATGACGCTGGCTAGCAACCCCATCCTGTAAAATAAACACCACTGCTACAGAAACTTCAAGCCACCAGCTTGAAGCCCTATGTTCCACTGGGAACGTGAAGGAAAAATTATTATTAATTATTATTTTATCAATAATAATGATGAAAAAGTGAGGCAATCTGTGATAACACGAATAATAAAAAACAGCATGATTAAACAAACAAATGTTCAGGTAGAAGTAGTAGTCGATAAAAGCCAGTAAAAACAAATGAACCTATTACATAATGTTAGATTGTAAGGGAAGTAAATAAGACACGTTTTTAATAAACATGTGATAAGATTAAGGGATGATAAGAGAGGAGGGGTTGAAAGTATAAACAAGGGGTGGTGTAGAAGTCATCAGTTGGTTATGTCTTAATAGACGAAGCAAGGGAGGGATAATGGTTGTACGAACTTCTTTTGAATGCATAGTTTACCTGCTATTCGGCTAGGCATATAGGTTATTCGATGAGTGTTAAAGAACGCGATCCCACGTCGTTACCAAGAGGTGCAAGTGGACGGATAAACAAGCGCAATCACTGAACATCTTGTCAATACTAGTCATTTCATCTATACAATTTCTCTTCGTTTTAAGTTCTATACAAGGCGAAAAAGATAACCTGCAAAAATCATTGAATATCTGCCTCTTTCCCAACAGAAACGCTGAAGTTTCGGTTTATAGAGGAGAAACTTCTTCAACCACTCCTCATCTCATCAACATGATCCCTCCACACCTCCTGCTTCACTCGATAATAAAGATCATATGACTGGTTGAATGACTAGAACTGTCCCTACCAGGCAGCCAATCAGTCGACAAGCCACTGGCTAACTAACAAATGCGCAGAAGGAAGTCGAGATGGACTGAACATACGTCGAGAACATTGTCGAGTGACATCTTGAGCCAAGTCCTAGAGTGGAACCCGACTAGCGGCAAGCGATAGGTTGGGTGTTTCTTCAAGGATACAATGGAGTAAATCATGTGAACGTGGACGGGAAGATAAAGGCTTGTGAGGAGAAGAGGAGACAGCTGAAAATGACAGGAGGAAACTAACTGGAATTGAGATGTGCGCCCCACCCCACCCCAACTGAAGCTTTATGCTACACTCAGAGAACGCAAGAAATAACAATAATAATAACCTCATCCAACAGCTGGCTATATGATAGTGCCACATGTCAAGTAATCCACAACCAAAAACTCAATGAAGTGTTTGAAGTGCATATAGGTGTGAGACAAGCTAGTTACCTATTATCACCGATGATATTCTTAATTGTGGTGGACTTGATTACGCGTCAGAGAGTCCGTGGGAATAAGAAGACAGGAATACGCCGGACCCCCGACGAGAAGACTCTAGAAGATCTGGATTTCGCAGATGATATATGTCTAATGTCACACAAACTCGAAGACTTGCAAGCAAAAACCAACAAACTGACTGAAGAGGAAGCGAAAACAGGAATGCAGGTGAACATAGAGAAGACGCAGGTAATTAATCAACAGCAACAACAACTAGCACTAATCACCATCAACGAGAAAGATTTAACAGAGGTTACCTCCTTCACTTATCTGGTGAGGAAGCATCGTTTCAACTACAGGCGGCAACACGGATGAAAATATCAAAGTCAGGATCGGAGAGGCACGATATGCCTTCATCAACCTGAAACCAGTTTGGAAATCTTCCACACTCAGCATGAAGAACAAGATTTGCATTTTTAAAACCAATATGAAGTTGGTCCTTCTATATGGGTCAGAAACTCGGCCAGCGTGTCACTAAAAGGATTTCTAACAGCCTGTTACAGACTTTCATTAACAACTGCTTTCGCTGACTCTATACTGAAGACCAATGGCCAGAAAGAATCAGTAACAAGAAGCTCTGGCGATGAACGAAACAACCAAGAGTCGATTGCTAAATAAATATTTAGGAACATACATTGAGGAGGCCACCAAATGACACTGCGTACAAGCCAGGCCCTCGGGTGAAATCCAAATGGTAAGTTACGAGTGGGTCGTCAGCGCGAGGGTGACATGGAGGAGATCATGTGGCGGGGGGGGAGATGAGAGAGTTTCATCAATCGTGGACCCAGCTGAAGAGGATGGTAGAAAATAGGACAAAGTGGAGACGTGCTGCTGAAGCCCTATGTTCCACTCGGGACGCAAGGGAATAATAATAATAATATAAATAACTCACCTTTCAAATTTATATTTCCTCAAACTTCGTGCACAAATATGTAAACGATCCTCAGAATAAATCCGTGTATCTAAATAAAATAAGAAAAACACATATATCATCAACTTCGCCTAATCCACTGAAGTCTGACCAACTACGGAATACAATTAACCCCCAAGAACATTATGTATTGTCTAATGACAACTGGATGGATATACACGTAACTGTTAAGTTTTTCATATCATTACTACAAATTTCCATAGAAGAAGGTAGAGGTGTGAAAAATGTACACCTTTGCATTTTAATATATATATATATATATATATATATATATATATATCACCTGTTGACTTTAGATATGACTGTATTTTTACTGTCAACAGGTGTACTTTCGACTGCTTATGCTGCTCGCTCGAACTCAACTCTATCCTCATTGATTCCTGAATGATATGCGTAAAAGGGTTTCAGAATTTCCCTAGTATTTCTTATCTTTCACGTATTATCCTTTTCTGGGACTCTTTGGCATTGTGCACCTATCACACCATCGGCAGAGATCGGACCCAAGACCTTCAGGGTTACAAGACGACTTCATTCAGCCATTGGGAGGAATCCAAAGGCTGGCCCACGCCACTGTCGGTTGATGTCATCAGCGAGTGTAAATCGTCGCACCCTAACTTGGTGTACCCTGCTGCTCCCGACTCCCAATTACACTTTCAAGCAACTTCATTCTGTAGTCAGTTACTAGCCAGCACTAGTACCCCCTTCTGACTTTCAGTGGTTCTCTAGCTGAAGTCAATTAATCATCACCTATGGCCACCTATGGCGCCGTCGCAATGTTAGCCTGGCTGTCAAAGGTCGGGTATACAATGCTTCGGTGCGGGCTGCCCTGCTCTACTCCTGTGAAACCTGGCCTCTCCGAGCTGAGGATGTGCGGCGACTCTGCGTGTTAGATCATCGCTGTCTCCGCAGGATTGCTTGCGTTCTATGGCATTATCGCGTGAGTAATCCTGAGGTTCGGCGGCATGTGTTTGAGCACAGTGGAGATCACCATTCATTGAATGTCGTCATCTGGAAACACCGGCTCCGGTGGCTTGGACATGTACTGCGAATGTCACCCCAGAGGCTTCCGTACAGGTCTCTGTTCGCTAGCCACCCTGGGACGGGATGGAAAAGGCGGAGAGGTGGTCAGTCCATGACGTGGCGTCGTGGGATGAAGGATTTTTGTGCTATATTAGCATCGGTTGGTGTCGCGACTCCCTGGTTGGGGTCCGAGAGATAGCTAGAATCGATGGCTCGAAACGTTATCGGATATGGCCAAGAATCGTAATCATCAATGGCGAACGTGTTGCAGTTTCCTTCTTTCTTCCCTTCCCGATGATAGTTAACGAATACTGTTTGAACTCGTTAAGTAGTATGACTGTTTTCCTTCCAGACGAAGTTCTTTATCCGTTCTCTACTTGTATATATATATATATATATATATATCTTCTTTCATTTTTTGTTCTTTTGATCTATGTTGTTTTATTATTATTGTGTGGTGCGTCCTTCTTGGTGTCATATTGTACCAAGTTTTTATGCGTTTAAATAAATAATTCATCATCATCAATCAGGCCGTGTTGTAATTTAAAACTTGAAAATCTTTCCTGAATCTCAGTCGTGCTTGCTTTCCAAACGAATTCGTATCTGATGCTATCCATGTATAATTATGTCAGAGAATTTGTATAGTGGGGCTTAACTAATACTTGATATTCACGTAAACAGTGACAAATAGGACTATTTTTTACACTAGATTACACATATCTCATTTTACCACTGCTTACTTTGCGTTCTATAGTGGAATCTAGAGATATTGTTGTGTGTAATTTGGGGCACAAAATAGTGAGGAATATTGATGTTTGCCGTAGAGTGTTAAGTTGAGATGGAAAGTCAATTACCGACGCTAAGAAGGTATCTCGACTGAGATGGTTAGAACAGGTATTGCACCTTCCGAGCAACTACTGCCTTCCTCGACAAACAAGCTTATCTGACACACAATCAGATTAGATAAATGTTAACAGTGGTCAAACCAAAACCTCGAATCAGTTCGCGTAGGGAGGTGTAAGCTCTCTCCTTAGGGGTCCTCGAGGAGATACAATGACAAATCCTATTCGAGTAACACTATTCACCGATAAAAAATAAACACCACATCTAACATACTTTTTCAAAAAACAACAACAGGGAAAATAACTTACAACAATATGGACATATTTGATTATTCTCAGTCGATGGTAAATTATAAAACCCCAAGATTAATACCACCTCATTATTATTATTCTCGTTAGTTGAATTGTGCACATTACAAGGTAGTGTATAACCCAATAAATAGACAGTAGAATTTGATTTCAACACATTTCTCCATATATGATATTCAGTTAATTCAGATGGAATAAAGATAAAGGTTTTCTTTGCTTTATTCATGCCCAGGTTATTCTATTTTCAAAATAAAATCACAAAACACAAAAGTGAACAATCCAGCAGGATGAAAAGTGTTAGACATAACTAAATAATGAATGAAGGGTTAGAAGAATGCTTTGGAATTACACTGCAAATTGATATGATGAGTAGTGCTTGTTAGCCAGTCAGTCAGCTAGCCAAATCGAAGTAATCTAATCACGCCGGATACTGTCGCTTAGCTTAATTACAACTGAGTACATCAACGCTGTACTGGATTTGTGAATAAGCCTACATCACCGGAATTATAGTGGTTAGATATTGGATGAACTGGTAGCACGTGGAATTGAATTCATCATTTACAGATTACACAACTCTGTACCTAGGGGCCTTTTATTAAATAAGCTTTCGTTGACACAAACAGAATCCTGGGCTAAGAGTTGGTTGCATTCCTATTTTTCTAATAGAATGCAGTGTACTGTATATAACGGCAAATCTTCTTCTACCTCGCTTACAAAATCCGGTGTTCCTCAAGGTGCCGTCCTCTATCCTTTTCTTTTTCTTTCTTCCTACAGGACCTACCCCATTCAAACGAAACTAACTTTGTCAAATATACAGATGATCTGACTGTATCACTCACTGCCTATCACTTCCGAGTCTGACTGCTCTAAACTTAATAGCTTTCTGTTGGACATCAGCAAGTGGTCTAAGTCAAATGGTTTTATGTTAAATCCTTCCATCAAATGTCAGGCAGTTAACTTTACTTTCAAGCATCGACGTGACTTACATGAACTAGTTAGTTCCCATGATGCCTGTAGCATAGATGGCACGGAAACTGAAACCAAGTCAAGCATTAAATACCTTGGATTAGTTCTTTCCTCTGACCTTTCATGGTCATCCCACATCTTATCTATCTCTAAGAAAATGTTTCGTCTTACCTTCTACACTAAAAGTTAAGACAATCAGGTATCAACCAACCTTTAGTTTTGCAATTTTTAAATTCCTGTATTTTACCTATTGTACTCTATTGCTCTCCATTAATCTTTCCTGGGCTTCTCAAGAAAGACTATATCATATTACGAAGAGTATTAAATGCTGTGAGTGGGGCTTGTGGCATGCCACTGCGTGAGCTCGCCAATACTATGGTCGAGAGATACCTAAATTCCTGTACAAAATGGGCAAAGGCTGTACTGTCAGACCCTCTGCACCCCCTTTATTCACAACTATTCCCTTGTATCTCATCAGGTAGGACGAGAAGTCAATATAAGAGGTTATATGCTCGTACCACTAGGTACAGAAATTCTACAATACCCTATTTAGCCCGTACTTTATGTGATGAAGGCTCTGTTAGGCGTGAAACATATAAGTTGCTATGTAATTAGCAAAGTGAATCGACCCTTTCATTGTTCATCTTTCTCTATTATATGGTGTCACACTTTCTATCGTTTAATTATAACTTTGCTATTTTATTTTAGTTGTTATTACTATTATTACTACAATTTTATACTTTATGCATATTTTTCTCCGTACTGCATACAGTAATTTGGTATGTAGTTGCTATAACAAAGCTTTATTATTACTATGTAATATTTATTTTTTATTATTTTTTGTCGATTTGAGTAAATTAGATGCAATATTGCACTGAATGCTGAAAATTCCTTGTTGTATCATAAGTACTGTTTTTTGAATAAAGCGAATTATTATTATAAATGATTTCAAATTACACATACCACAAAGTCAGTGGTGCACTGGTTGAATGCCCTCCAAATCTACCACATATTGTCCGGATTTTGATTCTGAGCCGACGCTCTCCTTAACCACATTAAGCCAGTGGTAACAGCAGAGGTTGGGCTAGCATCAGTCTAACAATCCCACCCCGTGAAAGAAACACCACTGCTAAGGAAACCAGAAACGTTAAGCATCAAATCCTGTTCCACTCGACAAGCATAGGGATGAACAACTACTCATGTCAATCAATAGTATGTACTGTCATACCATTCTCATTGGCTTCCTAATTGCCATTTATAATAACAACCAGATCACATTGTGATCTGAATATTTTTGGTTTTCTCAAGTAAACTATCATGATTTCTCACATTGAATTATGTAATTTGCAGATGAAAAATTCGAGGATTCGGTCGGAAGCTTTAACTTAACGGGATCTGAATAAGTGATCTAACTCGATACACAGGTGCTGCTTAAATCGATCACGCCTATGTTCATACAACCATCTTTTTTGTCCGCTTCTTGTCAGCTGCGAACAGATCGCAGGAATTATTGACTCCGTGTACAGAAAAATCCTAACACACTTGCGAACGTTGCACAATGTTAGATGACAGAGGACTCAAAATTTGATAGTCAATGTTCAGTAGTTACCCTTTTATATATTACACACACAAAGTTCAAGTTTTCACAAAATAAATTAAAAAGGCCTTGGATACAACGGCTAGAGTTACGCAATGGGGAAAAGAGGCGAATGAGATGACGAGTGATTGATACGCTAAGTAACAAAGTGGTGAGCTCAACTCAAGTCACAGAAACAACAGACAAGCACAATTTCACCACAGCGGAAAAGAAGAGGTTAAAGACAACTAAGAATAGAGTAAAAGATATACACCCAGAATACCATCAAATTCTGCCTTTGCAATACCAAGTCGGTGTGGATCAAAACGTCGAGGGTGTGCAGAAACTAGTGGTCCGGCATTTTTCATATGATAAGCCAGGGATGCTTCATTTCGGTTTCTCGAAAGGATGTTTGAAGATAAGGAAGCTGACTCACTAATTCTTTATACAGAAATGCTAGTGTGAGTGTGACCATCACTTTCACTGATAATAGACGGCTAAATTTACTAGCTATGTGCACTTTATTGAGTGAGTTGATCAATTAGGGAGTTATATAGTCGAATAGTAATTCGTAGAGTCATAACAAATGATGTCTAAAACTGGTGATGGGACATCCGCACTTATGAATGATCAGTCATAAGCATCCTGGAGACTAAAATCCGAAGTCATGTGTTTACGTCCACAAGTAATATTACTGGACTTATTATTAATAACTTGAAGTGTGACTGCTGAGTCAGGATGTTGACGCTGGTGGGTAGATGGAGAAAGAACACTCATTTCTATTGTGCCAAACAGGAATTTATTAACAGTATTTCGATCGTTCATACGAACTGTGATCAAGATTATAAAGTATTTCGACCGGTTACATAAAACAAACTACTACTGGGCTGTTGATCCTCGACGACAGAAGTCGTCACAAGTCCCGATATACCTCAAAATGGCAATATGTATACAAAACGAAAATCTCGAAAGACAAGAAAAAATAATCACTATGCTTAAGCAGATTCTGTGCAGAAGAAGCACAAATGAATGAGTTTAAATGTAAAGTATCTATAAATTACTAGGGTTAGAATGTAAATAACCCAGAAATTGTTTCGATATCGACGTATATAAGTTGGATCACCACTTTACAGCATACGATAAGTGACTCCGATTAATGCTGCTACAGTACATTCACGTCTTCACGTTCTATAATTTTTTAAACGCCACGCACAACCAAATAATAACGCTGTATTAAATATCACACGTGAAAACTTCAGGAAATGACATAACAGAGGCGCAAACGGCTTACGAAGAGGTTGAGCTTCTGAAGGTCACTTGTGCATATTGTGATTGGTAGATTTCCCTTTGCAGAAACGTTGCGGCTAATACGTATTGCGCGCCACTGAGGCAGGCTTTGATATAATAATAAAATCAGATAGATGTTATATTTTTTAGCTTAAGGTAACAAATTGGGCTGAGTTAAACTTTAAGCACCACTAACTACCAGTGAAGTGTGATCACACCAGTGACCTTGAAGCGCTCACTGAGCAGATTGGTGAAAACTGTCAAATAATGTTGCCATCATCAGTAAAATATGCTCATCAAAGTGTTATGCTATTAAATGGAATATCTGGAAAGTTCCAGCTCAGGTATGGGAAAGATTAAGTTACGCTTTAAGTCAAGGACAAGTTAGCGTTAGATTAACCCAATATAAGCGAAATAGGGTTGGTTTGAGTTAGATTACATTTAGTTTAGGTATATTTTCACTTTAGAGTTAGGGTTAGAAAACCTGGACAAGTTAAACTGTAAGCACCACTAACCACCAACGGGGCGCTACCACACAACTGGCGTTGAATGGTCCAATGAGTTTTATTCACATGAATTGAAGCTTCTATTCCGCTTGGTTAGAGTCAAATGCCCGCTCTACCACAGTCGTGCTTGCAATTTGGTAAGGATCAAGTCTTCCAGTATTGCTTAGATGTGGAGTTGACTAGATAAGGAAGGTTTTATTCATATTGAGGTGTAATGATTACAGAAAGCCTCAGTAAGCCTTTTGATGGAGATGTGCATTACTGTGCGATTTGTTTGAGATGAGTTAGTGTCAGAGAAGGTAAGCTGATGATTCTAGTATTTCGTGGGGGCATTTTTTGCCAGGCTTCATCTATCCTTGGAAGTAGCAGGAGCCATCGGACATTAAGATGAAACTGTCTTAATAAAGAAAGAATACAACCGTGGTAGAAAACGAACTAATAATATTTGGCTGATTGGTTTATATGATACCTCTCTACAGAAAGAATTAGTCGAGAACATAGTGGATAGAAAGTCAGGTAATTCATTTCCTATTCTTACTGTAATGGGGAAACAAGGGTCTATAATATACATAAATCGGTGGAAAGGTTATAAATCCTTGTCATCCATTGAATATTTTCACCTCAGAGTCAAAAATTCTACCGACTCCGTCCCATTACAAAGACCCACATGGATTTCATCAAAGGCCTTGAAGGAATGTTAAAAAACAGTATGAGTAATTGATCGGTGTTACTTTTAGTCAGTTAGATGAATATATGCATAGGGTGTGGTGTCAATGTACTTGAAGATTGAATGATCAATTCATGGTTGTTTGCCCAAAACCAACTTCCCCAATTTTCGCGGAGGCATCAATACGACAGTCATCAGCTCATCGGTCGCTGTTCAGAAAGAAGTCAGCAGCAAACCGTCAAAAGTAATATTGTGATTTATTATTGTAATATTTGTTCACAGACCTTAGTTATAACATTGTTTATATGTTGGTGTAACAATAAAGAATCCTCGAGTCAACAATTGGTGTTTTGGATTTTTCGTCCGTTATTACTAAGCGTTTCTGAAAAACTTCAAGGAACAGCGTGAGCCCGAGCGCAGCAAGAGCTGGGCATTAACGGTTTACGAGACGTGGCTGACAGAGTTATTGCACTGGATATGCTGCAAGAGCTATACAGTGCTGTAAGTTTATGAAGCCAAAAGAGGGCTACTACGAGGCTATGAGCACACTACGTCAAAGGTTTTGGAAGACCTTCGATGATTGTAGGGAAATTATTGGAGATTGTTAAGGGTAATGATGATCAGTTACAGGATGACTCCCAGGCACTCACTGACTTTCTGCATAACTTGCCGATTTACAAGAATGCATTGATTTCGATGAATTTCATGAGTGACCTCAACTCGAGTTTTATACTAGAAGTAATAGCAAGACGCCTACCCACTCGACTGCAAAGGAAGTGGGTGAAGATAAGCTCCCGTATGGACGATGAGGGTATCGAGCCAAAATTTCATGATATCCTGAAACTGGTAAAAGATAGTGTCGATCAATCTATGAGCAAGTTCGCCAGTCTATTAAATCTCACCCCTAGAATAGAGCAGTCTGAGGGTAAAACGCAATCATTGATGACGAATAGGCCTCAGAGAGGTGGATATCGAGAAGGCTTCATGATGTCTAGTAATGCATATAGATCTAGTGAGTGTAACAGGTTTCGTAGTACATCCTCAACAGATAAGTTACAAGATGCAAGACAAACACGGTTGTGTTTTACGCGTTTGCAAGAGGTGCATACAAAGGTGAACTGTGGACCAGTGAGCAAGTTCAGTGACAAGCTAGATATAAACTCCAGGTCTGACTCCGAATTGTGTGATGATAACGGTGCGGTGAAGAAGTCTGTAGTTGCATCTGGTAAGCCGTTGTTGAATAGAGTGTCAGAGAATAGAGTTACTGCTTCAGAGTGCAGTTCTGACTCCACAAGTTTACAAAGTATTACTGGTCAGAGTGAAGGTATAAAACCTTTAATGATTTATGAGGAGGAACCAAAATTGTCTACTTCTGTTATTAAAGAGTTTGAAAATGATGAAGTCGACCAGATAGATGATGGTAAATTGAATATTTGTGATAATGATCATGATAGTGCAGATTTGTCTTTGGTCGATCATGGTGAAATGGAGGGAATGCCTACTACCGCTAAGTTAAATAAGGGTTCTGTACAGCTGAAAGGTGAAGTAGAAATAAATGCAGTTGCAGCAGGCATGTATACTTGTCAGACCGTCAGTGTGAGTGATCAGCATGTAGCCCACCTATCATCAGATGATAGTGCTAAACCCGAACTAATAGTAAAAGACGGCAGTGGTGGTAGTCTTGCAGTTAGACAACTTTCTGAAAGCCGAACAACAACAGCTTTTGATCCACCGCTAAGTTCATCAACTGGTATCAATCAGTCGTCGTTGGAGTTGTCATCCACAATGAGGAGGACGCCCATGAACTCAAGTAACTTGTGCAATGAATTTGATAGTATTGGTGCATTTGAAAAGACGAAAAATATTGCTCAGTTTAGTGAGGATAAGCCAAGTGTAAACGAGAGAGTAATTTTTAAATTGACTTGCATGAATAAGGGCATTTCTAGTTTCAAGTTACTATTTGAATGCTATTATCTTTGGTGTAAATTACTCTGTGCCTACGCTTGGTTGACCAGATACGTCGTATGTTTGTTCGTCATCTATATTCTACGATACTATGACATGAGCGTGTTGTCGTTCAGATTTGAGGACTTACCTGATAGAAGGAAGTCAGCAAATGAACTCTGCGTCGATTTTCCAGCCTAGGGCGTCAACCTGAGAAGGGTTGTAGGCGTACTGCTGTAAGTCCTACAGTTCTTCAAAGGAATTCCATCGAAACACGATCTGCGAGTTTGTGTGTACTGTTTGTATATATGTGTGGTGTGTCATATCAATTGGTGTTTTTGGATCCGTTGTGTTTACTCGTTGTTTTCGTACCTTGTTGTTATTGCGTAATTTTGTTAAAATTTTCGTCGTGATTACTTCTGAAGTTGTTTCGAGTCTTCTACATCCGTGAATGAATTGATTGATGTTAAGGACAGCAGATGGGTCGTATACACCGGGGAGGCTATTGCTGAGAATGAAATGCACACGGAGATAATGATTAGCTGTGGTCCCACACGCCGGGGAGCGGGAGTGTAAACGACTGAGGCTTGCATAAGTCACCGTTACTAGAACTGAGGCACAATGAGTGACAAGCGATTGTAGTGGTAATTGGTGGTGAGTAGATACGAGGACGTGCGTGAAGTACCGTGAGGTGCTCCTATGGCCACGTTGCATTCTACAAGTGTCATTCTAGCAAGTGGAGATTGTGTTGCGAGAGGATGTGTCAAGCGGATGCCTTTATCTGGAGGCGCAGGTCATCATTGATGTGTGAGATTGTACTGTGAGTATGCTTGTGGTGTGTTGGCCTCTCTGTTTGTTTTCCATTTCAGCTCTATCCGTGTGACCCAGGTTCTCGCAATGGCATCCAAGTCAAAGTGTATTGGTCGTGAAGGAAAAAAAGGGATGGATCCGTTTTTTCCCGGGGAGTGTCAATGTAGTTGAAGATTGAACGATCAATTCATGGTTGTTTGCTCAGAACCAACTTCCCCAATTTTCGCGGAGGCATCAATACACCAGTCATCGTCTCATCGGTCGCTGTTCAGAAAGAAGTCAGGAGACAACTGTCAGAAGTAATATTTTGATTTATTATTGTAATATTTGTTCATAGACCTTAGTTAGAGCTTAATGTTAAAGATGGATATATTGGTGTTACAATAAAGAATTCTCGAGTAGCCAATCGGTGTTTTGGTTTTGCGTCCGTTATTACTAAGCGTTTCTGAGAAACTTCAAGGAACAGCGTGAGCCCGAGCGTAGCAAGAGCTGGGCATTAACGGTTTACGAGACCTGGCTGACGATACCTTCATCCTCTATACGAGAGCTTATCTTCACCCACTTCATTTGCAGTCGGGTGGGTAGGCGTCTCGCTATTACCTCTAGAACTGAGCTAGAGTTCAAATTACTCATACAATTCATCGAAATCAACGTATTCTTGTAAGTCAACAGATTATCCAGAAACTCAGAGAGTGCCTTGGAGTCATCTTGTAATTGACCACCATTACCCTTAACAATCTCGAATAATTTCCCTACAATCATTGAAGGTCTTCCAAACCTTCGACGCAGTATGCTCATAGCCTCATAATACCCCCCTTTTTGCTTCATAAACAACACTGTATAGCTCTTGCAGCAATTCCAGTGCAATACCTGATGAAAAACATGAACTTCATTTCATCATTTAATAAAAAACCACTCAACATGATCTCAAACTCCTTTACAAATTGTAAATAATCAGCTGGGTTTCCATCAAAACACCGTGGTTCAAATTTAGGGAGTTTGATGTTTCTATTATCCGTGAACGGCGAAATAGTAGCATCAACCATGTCATGCTTAACATCAGACACATCGTTACAATTAACAGACAAGTCACCATGACCTACTTTCCTGTTTGCATCCAATACGCCCCGTCCCTTCTTTGACCCAGGCATTGTTGAACTTGACCCACTTCCAAAAACGTTCCAGATATTGCTTGTTCAAAGAGGACTTGACCGGCACCAGGAAAGATGAACGGTGACTATCCAAACTTTCACCAACTGTCCAAATCCGTCAGAAACTGACTGCAAGGCGTCAGAAACTGACAACGTATCGTAAGAAACTGTCAGCCTCGTCTCGTTAACTGTTAATGCCCAGCTCTCGCTACTCTCGGTCTCACGCTGTTCCTCGATGCTTCTCAGAAACGCTTAGTATAAACGGACGCAAAAACGAGAACCCAGTTTGGAGACTCGAGAATTATTTATTCTAACACCAACATATAAGCAATGTTATAACCAAGGTTTCTGACGGTCTCACTAACTGTTGTTCAAGATTTATCACAATTATACAGAATCGTACGGTAATGTACTACAGACAGCGCTAAACTTATCGTTGTCGAATTGTAATGTTAAAATTTATATAAGAATACACCGAATTTTATCTAAGTTAGTCCTTTCCCGTGGCCGTCGAACTTCAGGCCACTTTGTGGATAGCTTCGTCCGGCTGAGTTAAAATTCGGGCTGCACCATTGATGGAGGGTTGGCATAAATACATCTGGATAAGCTGCGTTACATGTTTGAATGCATTATACATTACGTAGTACATCAAACTAGATTTCGAGGGAGGAATACTCAGTACGAATGCTTGGACATGGTATCTGAGAATTGCTGTTTTTCTATAGCGGAAAGTAACATCCAACTCCATGTGCAGATAGTGGGGTTTCGCATCTGTCTGACAGTGGAAGGACTTGTGTAAAACCTGGTGCAGGGTTATCTGTAGTGGCAACTGCCGAAGAAGCATTACGTTCGCACTCTTGTTTGGTTTCTTTAAAAAAGTGTCGGCTGATGAAATACTGGCCGACTTCATTTTCCCAAGGACTGACTTGCTATGGATACACACCATAAAGAATATCATGAGTGCAGTCTCCTTTCTCCTAAATCCGCGTTGATGACTCACAGAGTACTGTCAGCTAGCTGAGTTTATTATGACTACAGCTTGATTCCACACTGTATTTTTGGTACAAGTATGGAATTTTCAGCATGGATATCGGTAGTCCAAATTTTGCAGGCCGACCATAGATATCAGGTGTGCGTCGGCGGGTGCTCGAACCCAGGACCATATGCATAGTGGGAGAGAGTCCTAACCACTGTGCCACCGACGCACTTTGGAAAGTCAAATTCTTCAAATGAAGCCTCAGTGACCACAAAATACGGAGTCAACCAGGAACATCCGTTAAGGAAAGCATGAAACCTAAAGGAATGAACCGGTTCTAATGTGTTTAGTAGTGTCATGTGATTGTCTGCCTCTATGAACTGTACCTTAGTGTGACCACCAACTGTTCTAAACTTTTTTGTGTCTGATTTTCTCCACCGAACCCTAGTTTTCATCAACGTTTCCACATTTCTTTTCAATAATGCTAAACCGTAGGAAAAATTATGCATACAAATATCTAACTTGTTAGTGAATTCCGTCGAACAATATAAGGTGAGTAGTAGTCGTATACTTAATACTTGAACCATCTCTGATGTTAAGACTTAGGAGTACAAATACCAGTTGGTTAAAACGATGAGGGTTGGACTTATATGACACGTTGGTGGAAATTTCGCTTCCAGCACATGAACATATTGGACATTGAAACGCGGCGTGTAGTCAAGGTCATAAGGTCTGTGAAAGCTCCCAAATGTCCACCTGTGATGACTTACGCGAATTTGAGGAACAGATCAAGCTTCAAAATACCAGCCATGTTAGTGTTGAGGTGAAAACAAGAGTGGACCCAGATGGGACGGTCATGGAGTGGGATGAGAAACGGAAAGCCTGGTTTCCTAAAGTAGGTGAAACGGGAATGTTTCCTTAAATATTGTGGTCACTTACTAAAGGCCTTGGGTTCACTATGGCATTTCCGGACAAAGTAATGCAATAATTTAGGGTGCACTTAGTTTCAGGAAATGTTTCCTAATATACCCGTGTTTTTTCTTAGCATTGTCTGCCTGAAATTCGTGAAAAATAGACTTGATTTTACGACTTCATCCGAAATTCATTTTTCCTTTTAGGCTGTTTTGTAATGTCATTTATTTGCGAGTAAAGGGAAAAATCTGGAATGTTTATCACGGAAAATAAGCAGCAACTTTTCGACTTGCACAAGTTGTCAAAGTGTGTAATACAAGTTGAAGAAAGTCATTCATTTCACTCTACGACTTGTGAATTTTTCCTTGCGCATTGACAGTTTTGTGCAAATGTAGAACAGGTATCCGGACTTGGTGGTGTTGCGTTGATGAAATCTTCAATTTTCTAATGGCTCGAGAATATAGACTCATTAAGTTCTTGTCATGTTTCATCACCTGAAGAAAACACTCGCTTTTTGTCACTTCTGGTATAGGCGTGGTATTCGGCCACCGATCAAGGACCATATTTGCTGTGTAGCAGTTATTTCCGTAATTTATCCCACCAACGGCTTTTTAACATGATCTCCGAAATTCGAAGGTTTAAAATTATAAGTTTTTGACCATCGGTGTGTCTACTGGACTGTATTTTGTGGAGTTATATTTATATTTTAATTAACAATATGGTTAGACATTTGCGTGGTAATTATGCAAAGTTAATTGTTTGGGTTGTAAAGCCCTATTAATCGGGGTGAGTGGGACATGTGTTATGCATCGTGATCTGTAACGGTGAATGTTAACTGATGTAGTAGTAGGTTTGGAAGAGGCTACGGAGTCGTCAGATGAAAACATGTAATTCCAATCTATGAAGCCATTGACTGATGATCTGTGTTTAGTAGAGAAGCGAAGATTTTCTGACTGTGGGGTCTTTGACATGCTAAGAATCAGTCGTCTGGCATTTATTACATTTCTTTTCCCAACTTTTACATGTACATTTCTTAAGCATGGTATCTTCAACTGATAAATTTCTAAACAGAGTTCTACCTTATTGTGTCAGTCAATTGAAAAAGAGAAGTGGATAAGTTTTTGTGTGATTTTGCGCAAAGCATTTTGTAGACTGTGTCCAATTGGTAACCGATATTTTCAACATATAGGTAACATAGTCGGTGACTTTAACCAATAATTAGTAACTGAACGTGGTCATCACAGGCTCTATTTGAGTATAACCTCTCAACCAATATTCTGGATGGAATGTAACGTTATTTATCTGCATTTCATTGATAAAGCATGATGACCTCATCAACTGGCATTGATACACTTAGTTAAACCCTTCCAAATCCTTGTATTATCGTTGAAGGATCATTTGCTGTTATTTTTGGCTTACTTGTTTAATACTGTATCGTATTTTGCAAATGTCATCAAGCTTGTCCTCTGGAATAACTATATCAGCCTTGACTGTTGATATCACCCTATAGTACAATATATATATATATATATATATATATATATATATATATATATATATATATATATATAGTGGCTCAACTTGCCTCTTTAAAAAAATTTGATTCGTATTTTCAAAAGACATCCATTTAGCGTATCTAGGGAGTATTTCTTCAGCAGTAGATGTTTCTCATGGTAAAACTAGTGTATTTTGCTAAAAATATCCTTGTTTATTCATGTACTAGTTCCTTTGCATAATCTAGAAATATACAAAGAACTAGTGTTTAGTTATTATGTTTTTTTAAACGGTTTTATTCATGTAGTTACATATGTTTTTACAGGTAATTATTCTAGCCCTTATGCTAGACACAGCTAACATTTAATTTATTATTGTCGTTCATTAATGGCTTATAGGTTTCTAACCATAGGAATAGAAGCTCAAAAGTTGCCCTGCTTATATCGATTTGTTGCATATTTAGGGAATGAAGTTTGGTCTAGTTGGAAACAGTTTTATGCCTACAAATAGCAGACTTGTTCAAGAGCATAGTGTGAAAGTTGTTCGGTTTGTAGGCTTGACCACTACCAGTCCTTGATACCTTATAGTTTTAATGAAATGTCAACTTAACAGAAATCGTCTCCTTGTTTCTAGTGAATGAAAGTGAGTATATTTAGTTGTTGATGCTGCAGGATTGGACTACATCATCTCCTAGTCCAAAGATAGGAAGTGAAGTGGTAAATTGTATCGACCACCTCACTCATTTGTTAGATTGCATCAGCTAACGTCAACAGGTTGATCGCAGACGAAATCTCAGCACGGATACAGAAGGCTGGTTGGTGTGTTATTTGTCAGCCAACTTATTCCATCCCTAGCTTAGTAGACATGATATCCAGCTGGCTGTTGATCAAAGAGCATGTGTACTGCTCAGCAGTTCACTCCGTCATCCTCTATCTTTGTGAGTGAGACATGGCCATTGAAAGTGGAAGACATGAAAAGGTTGGCTAGCTGTCTTCGATCATAGGTGTCTGCGTTCTATCTCTCATGTTAAGAGGTGTCATAACAGGATGAGTAGTATTGAGAGTAGGCTTCGGTCGAGTATTAGGTAAGGGTGGAAAATCAATCGATGGGGCTGTGAAATTACATCAATTGAAATGGTTAGGACATGTGTTACTCATGCCCTCGCCTAGCCATCGATCGCCTTCCTCGACGACGGGGAATGTTAGCTGACATAGAACTGATGAGGTTGGGAAAAAGCTAGTAATGGTCAATCCGAAACATTGCTTCATCAGTCAATCAATTCCGTAACAGTTAGTTTAAGCCGGTCGGCCAGCTACGCATGGAAGTGTAAACTTCCTAACTGACTGGTTGGGCTCCTCCGTATGGTGAGAACCAATGAAGGTTGGAGACAATTGGTGATATGGTTCAAAATCGTTCTTCTCAATGGCGCAGATGCATTCACTACTCTTTGTGATTTATCATATGCAATATGACTGCTGTTTTTTATATTACCATTCTTTTTCCGTCACACTTCAGTTTATAATCTCTCTCAGTTTTGAATCTCTCTTTACTGTCTTCTCCTGCTTCGTGTGCTACAAGGAGGGAAATTGGGAACTCGAACTGCTGCACATCTGTGCAAAGTTCTACGTCGAAACTAATCAGTCAGCTTTGAGCGCTAAATCACCAAATAGTGTGTTGTTGGTTAGAACACTGCTTCTTCACCTGCTAAAGTTTGGTAATCCAGGTTCGATTATTAACGCGAAAAGAGTGCATCAGTGTCAAGTGTTGCATGCATATATACATGACTGAGTTTCATTCAACATAGGACTTCCAAGAAAAGTACAGCAATTCAAATTGCAACACTCCATGTAGAGCACGCAAAGGTGGAGTGGAAACTTAGAAAAAAGGGATTCAAAAGAGCTATAATAAGCAGGCATGTGAATGAGATGGGTAGGATGCAAGTGTTTAGTGAATATGAGAGATCACAGAGAGTGAATGTATCTGCGCCATTGAGAAGAACAATTTTGAACCATATCACCAATTGTCTCAAGCCATTGGTTCTTAGCATCCTGTGGAAGCCAACCAAGGAAGTCTCCGCCTCCCTATGTGGCTGTCTCAAACCAGTTGTCAAAACTTGGCTTGACCATCCCCTAACTCTTTTCCAACCTAATCCTCTCTGTGTCGGCTAACATTGTCCGTCAAGAAAGGCGATAGTTCGGTGTGTGTAACACGTTTTTAGCCGTTTCAACTGGTTCAATTTCATCCATAACTTGTTAGTTGTGTTTCATTTATTCACATATTTGTCTTTTCCATCTGACATAGATGGTGTACTGATCACCTTTCTAACATAAAAGACAAACCATTGTTTAGACTACCTCACCATTATATTCTTTTAGTTACCAAGAGTTATTTTATAAGGGATTCTATTTGTTTCAAGTTTGACCCAAGGATTAATATCATTTAGAGAACCACTGAAAACTAGGGATTCACCGGCAGTACGCACCCACATGCCCGGGTTCTCGAACCCAGTACCTGTTAAAGCAGCAAGGTAACCTTGTAGACCATTCAACCACTGAGAACATCAGCCCAACATCTCTTATTTTCATGTCATAACTTTATTTCTTGGAGGATCTGGACTTTGCCGATGATATATGTCTGATTTCACACAAACTGGAAGATATGCAATTGAAGAGCAACAAGTTGGCAGAAAAAGCATCAAGGATAGGAGGGACTTCAGATGTACATAGAAAAAACAGAGATGATGAAGATTCCTGACCAACAACAACAGACAACAATCAGCCAGCATAAATGGGAGGAACCTGAAAGAAGCAACCTCCTTTACCTACCCATCTACCTGGGAAGCATCGTTTCAGCTACACGCAGATGGAACTGACGAGGATATCAAAGCAGCGAGGATCGGGAAAGCAAGACAAGTTTCCATTTCTCTCAAGTCTGTGTGGAGGTCAATACTCAGCACTCAGCATGAAAAGTGAGATCCGGATTTTCAACTTCAATGCGAATTCAGTCAGTGCTACTATACGGTTCAGACTTACCGCTGCGTCATGAAGAGCACCTCAAACAAGCTACAGATCTTCATCAACAGCTAGCTGTCTTCGCTCAATACTACTCAAGATCAGATGGCCGGCCAGAAACGATCAGCAACATAGATCTCTGGGAGCGAACCAACCAGGAACCGATTGTGAAACAAATAGGCAGGAATAAATGGAGGTGGATTGGCTGGCCATACTCTGAGAAAACAAGCCATCAAGTGACATCGCTAGAAAAGCCCTCGAGTGGAACCCGAATGGGAAGCGGCGAGTTGGTCGTCAGTGCAAGGGGGACTTAGAGGAGAAGGTGGTGTGAAGGCGAGATGAAAGCATGTGGGCGGACTTAGAGCCAGGTGAAAAAATTAGCAGAGTACCGCACGCAATGGAGACGTTCGGCTGAAGCCCTATGTTCCTCTAGGAATTAAAGGAAATAATAATACATACATAACTTTATTTATTTTTCCCCCCATAAATTTTTAATAGATTGATGATGATTTCATTGCACGATATCAAATGAGTTATGGCGTGAATGCAAATAATCAATGTGAATCTTCTGCCAATACTGAAACAACAACAACAACTACCGCTACTACTGCCACTGCACAGAATGCCAATACTCCTGTAGACTGGACAACATTCAATGCACAATTAGCTCAACTTAGAGCTGATAAAGGCGATGATTGTGATGAAGTTCAACAGTTGATGAAAGCTGCCAATGAATCATTAACTGCCTATTATAATTCACCTGCCTACCGTGAATGGTATGAAAATTATTGTAAACAACAAAAAGATGTTCAGCCTAATAATAATCAACCAATTATGGAATGCAGTAAATCTGACCAACTGCAGAAAACATTGGCTGCCAATAAGGCGAAGTATGAATTAAAACCATCTGAAAGGATGCTTAATAAATTCTTGGATGATGGCGACGATCCAGATGTGGCATTGGCTCGAGCTGAAGCAGAACTGCTATCTGGTGTCCAACCTGTTAAAACAACAGATGATAATCATAATGAATTGAGTAATAATCCCGGTGGCAGCGAAGAACACATATCATCATCAGCAGTATCTAATGACGACGTGAATACTGCTCAAGAGGATCCAGATAGTCAATCGAATCAACGTAAAAGAAAACAGATAGCTCCTCCACCTGCCTGGTATGAAGTGAGTCATTCTCTTTGTTTTGTTTGTTTCAGTTAAAAAGATATTTTCCTAGAAATCGAAATTGTAATGGTTTAATTGCCTTGAAACGTTTAGTCAGAATCAGGGTTATCCATCTCCCCCTGGGTAGATATGCATGTCTGCAAAGTCCGGCTGTAAGCTCGCCAGATGTTCGTTCGAATTCACCCTTTCACCTATGTAAGGAATGCTATAGCTGCGTCGCATCGAGGCAGTGAATGAAATTTAACTGGTAAAGCCTACCAGCACGTGACCACTTGACAGGATTTCGAAAGGAAAGGCGAAGTCTACCCACCCTCAGGCGTACCAGTTAGTTCATCAGAGCTTTGGGACTCTATCTCCTGTGTGAAGTGGTATAATAAGGTGAGTAAAATTGAGGTTAGACGTCGGTCAAGTGCTAGGTAGGTGAGAGGGGAAATCAATCGACGAGGCTGTGAAATTACATCGACTGGGATGGTTTGGACATGTGTTATGCATGACTGACTGCCTAGTCATCGCCTTCCTCGACAATGGGCAATGTTAGCAAATATAGGGTCAGGCTGAAAGAGAGCTAGCTAGCGGCGGTCAAACCAAAACATGGGACGAGTCAATGAAATCTACAACAGTTAGTTTAAGTCACGTAGGAAGGTGTAGACTGCCAATCTGGTTGGTGTCCTCGGGACGGTAAAAACCAATGGTTGGAAACAATTTTTGATATGGCTAAAAATCGTGTTCGGTGATGGCTGGCGCAGATTCATCCACTCCTTGTGACTTATGATTTTCAATGAAACTATATTGTTCTTCATTATTACTATTCTTTTTGTCTCATATCCCTGTCTACTGTCTCTATTATGCATTTCTTCTACTTTCTTCCCTTTGCTTTGTGTGCTACACTGAGGGAGTGTGGCGACTTGAACTGCCGCACATATGTGCGAAGTTCTATATCGAAAACAGACAGACAGACAGAGCTTTGGGACGGCGAATAATCCTGTAAATTAAAAATCCTCATAGTGTAGTCAGAACGAGCTGGTTTTGAGTGAACATTTTTGCTTCGGTAAATTCTTTCTCAGCCTCCACAGTTATAAACCCATCTACATCAGAATATAAATAGCCGACCAGTAAAGCGAGGTGAAAATTATATCAGAAACTGTCTGTAATGGGGTACATATATAATATGGCGAATATCTTCAGTTGAATGTATATGAAATGTAGTCATTCAGAATATACGATTAAGTGTCAATTAGGTGCATATGTCCTGAGTTTTGAATTGAAGATAAAATTGTTATATGTCCAAACCAAATTCACTTTTAACGGTTTAATAAAGCTGTTAGCACTAAATAGCGAAACGTCAGTAAAAACAATATCGTTTTGTTTTTCATTCATTGGAAAATATAAAAACCTTTATTATAATGAATAAAATTGTTATCTTACCAATTTTGTAAAGAAGTATATTTGTAAAAAAAAACTGATAGAATTAAGCGTCATGACACAGTGAATAAGAAAAAGCTTTATTCGAGGGGTACAGTTCGAAGGTGATAATATCCAGTGATACATTAAGCCGTAAGTTGATCAGATCAATTGGAGGAACTTTCAATTCTACCAAACGACGCACCAGTTTCCCAACCTGACTGATAATGACACAATGCATTCAAGATAAATTACCAAAGATGGCCACATCATCAATGTGTGTATGCGAATTCAACTGTTCATGGTTGAAACTCCTCAGAGGGATTTATCTTTACACACTCGTGAACATGTTCCTGTCTGACTTGGGAAAAGAGTAACCAGATCAATAAATAGTGCCATTTTATCTCATCTAGTGGATAGTGAACCAACCCCACATCGAAACAGATGCGTCATTCATTTACGGTTGTATATCGGATACCAAACGATCTGCGCCTAAAGCCAAACGATTACGTCTCCTCGCTATAGTTGAAGCTATAGTGATTAATAAGATGGCACCTGACCTATGCGTGTAAAACAAGCACATTCATTCTCTTTGTTTACCCTGGTCTACTTACTATAAGGTCATCACGGACACAATCATTTTCATATTTTTTCATGTTATATTATGCCTTTCTTATTCCTTTTCACCTACTAGTTCCCTTCACTCTATTATTATCATCCTTATTAAATGTCAACTTTTGTAATTGTTATGTACTGGTCGAGAAACTAATAGTCCTGACGAGAGAAGGCGGAAATCAGAAGACCACTAGGTTTGCGATGATACTTCTATTTTCCAAACACAAGGAGACGAAAATAAATGGTCTCACACCAAAGGTGATAAGTAAGTAAAGTAGTTCACACAGAATGTGTGAACGAAATATATATAAACAAAATATATAGCATACATGTCAAACAACCATATATGGATATATGTCACTAAGCAACGGACTGTCAACGAACACTCATATTATATATAATATAATATAAGGAGAATACACATTATTAAAGGAGACAAGTTCATACAAGTGAAATGGTCACAGACTAAGAGAGCAAACAGAAAGAGAGACCAACATACACACACACATAAATATATATATGTGGATACATATCAGTAATATACACTGAGCTTATCATGTCTTTGGCATTTTGTTACAGTTCATAATTTAACCTCTTTATTTTATCACAACACTTGATATCTGTGAGCCCTTGTGCTTGAACTTACATTCAATGTTCCTTATTTGTTGGTATGTGTTTGTATGTATTTTGTAGTAATTATATTTCTCTCATACTATTGAATATAACTCACTACCCTGCCCTCTCCCAATGAAACTTATATTCTGTTAATTATAAATACATTACTATGTTTTTACGATTGATCACGGATTGATATCAGTTAGAGAACCATTGAAAACCAACCAGGGAGTACTGGACAGCTGCTGTTTCATCATAGTTTGGAAATCATCGGCAGTACGCACCCACTGCCAGGGTTCGAACCCAGGACCTTCCGGTTACAAGGCAAGCTGGTTCGTATACCACTCAGCCACTGGGACCCGATTCAATGGCCAGTCGATGAATTCTAACTTCTACCAATTCGTGATTTAGCGCGACCCCAACGATTGTCATAGGTGGGACATCCATCCTCACACGTGACATCTAATTGGACCTCACTGGTCACGATTTCTCACAAGAACTCCAGGAAACACCCTCCGTCCTGTAGCAAGTCACTAGCGAGCATCAGATTAATTTTCTATAGTTTGTTTTGTAAGGGTTCTCTAACTGATGTCAATCTGTGATCAACTCGTAGAAACAAAACTAACCCTTACAAAACAAACTATGGAACATTACTATGGCACCCAGTTGTCTATTCACTGTACATTTTATACACATTCAATTGACAATATTAACCAATGGACTATCCTATCCTATCCTATACATGTACCGTAATACAGACGATTTCTGATATAATTTTCATTTGCCTTTACCGGCTGTCTATTTGTATTCTGATGTTGATGGATTTATAACTGTAAAGTCTGAGGAAGAGAATTTACCGAAGCCACAATGTTTTGCTCAAAACCAGCTCGTTCTGACTACACTATGAGGATTTTTAATTTACAGGATTATTTATCGCTCCAAATTTCCGATAAACTGTTATGCTTGAGGATGAGTAGACTTGGGTCTTCCTTTTGAAATCCTGTCAAGTGGTGACGCGTTCATAGCCTTTACCAGTTAAATTCCATTTACTGCCTTCACGTGGTGCAACGAGGGTGTTCTTTACAAAGGGGAATGGGCGAATTAGAACGTCTGGCGAGCTTACAGTCGGATTGGTGGACATCTTGATGTACTTAGGGGAAATTAGAAAATCCTGATTCCGACCCTGTGGTAGTGTACATGGGTTCCAGAATCCAGAATAGTGTTTGAACCTATTTTGGTCACTGCGAACCATGGGAATGTAGCACCTGTTGCTTCTTCATTCACTGTCGTGTGTCAGGATCAGACTTCAATTGAGAGACTCGTAGGTTGGGGTGTTCCCTTAAGATAACCACCTGCTTCTGTCTGGGTGTATCCAGGCAGTATCCAGGCCCTAACACAAACTATAAGATTTGGTGTGGTGCATCTTTTGGGGCCCGTAATGTATAATGTAATGTTTTGATAATAAATAATAATATATCAGTATCAGCTTGACGTCCTTATTCCACGAAGTGAGCTGGTAAAAGAAGCCATCTATCGCTTTATTCGGTCCATTGTCTAACGATTATGAATGTTTAGAGACTATATATGTAATAATATTCTTATCATAGTAAATTTTACAAGGTCATATATTCGTCAACTTGAGGAAATTTTGACAAGTGAACAATGCATATAATCTTATTTACAAGTCAACCCTGAATGCTGAAACAGAGGTATGAGAATCAAGGTTGATCATGGACTACTAGATTATTGGAAACCAAGGGGCCCTCGACAGCTGTTTCGTATTTGTCTGAGACTCTTCAGCAGTGCATGTCCATGACTCCACCCATCAGTAGTCAAACCTAGAACCTTCATGATACTTAGCGTGCTTGTTAATCATTCATATATTGAGAGGGAATCCAGTGGCCGGCCCGGTGTGTACTAAGTATACCAGTTCGAGATATATGGCACGGTTACCAGCCGATATCCTCAGCGATTATTTGTCCTTACACCCAACTTGGTGGGCCTCATTGATCACCACTTTGCACTCGAAATCCAAGCAATTTCATTCTGTAGTGAGCGGTGGCATAGCTGGCGCGTTTGGTCACCCAACAGTCCCCTCAGTTTGTGTCCGATACATCGCCATTTCCCATGGCATATTTGTTGAGCAATCGGTTCCCGCTTGTTTGTGTTTCGTCCCCAGAGTTTCTTGTTGCTAATTCTTCCTGTTTGGCATTTGATTTTCAATGTGGAGCTAGCAAAGAGGGGGCAACTAACTGGCTGTTGGAAATGCTTTTCGTGACGCGTAGTGCAATTCTCTGACCCATATAAAAGAATCAACTTAACATATGTGTTGAAATTCCGAATTTTGTTCTTTGTGTTGAGTGCAGAAGATTTCCAGATTGATTTTAGGGTGATGAATGTGTTTCTCGCCCACCACCTGATTCTCGCTCGATTTTGACATCCTCGTCCGTCTCAACTGCCTGTAGTTGAGACAATGCTCCCTAGATAAGTGAATGAATGAAGTAGCCTCTTTCAAATCCCTCCTGTTGTGATGGTGATTGGCGCTGGATGTTGCTGCTGTTGTTGTTGGTTGGTTATTTTCATAACCTCCATCTTGTCTATGTTCACCTGGAGTCTTGTCTTCGCCGGCTGCTTCTTCGACCGACCAGTTTGTCGGTTTTCGCTTGTAGGTCTTCGATTTTGTGTGATATCAAACTTAAATCATCCACGCCTGAAATCCAGGTCTTCTAGGTTCTTCACGTCGGCCCAAACAGGATATCCCTGTCTTCTCGTTTCCCACTGTCTGATGCATGGGCGATATTAGGCAGCCAGCCTCATCTTACTTCTGTCTTCACTTCAAAGATAGGCATCATTGAGTTTTCTTTTTTTTTTTGAGTCTCTTGATACATGTTGAATGAGGTTGATGAAGAGTTGGAGCTTGCCCCGTAGCTTTGAAGTAGTTTCCAAATTACTTCACAGTCAATCCTGGGCTGTCGAAGACTTCTCCGAAGTCGATAGCACCACCGCTCTGTACAAATGCGAGTAGAATGTGTTGTCAGTGTGATTTGTTTTAGAAAAGTAATCAGCTGTTCGTATTTAATTGGTGGATGCTGACTAGCAGTGGAATCGAGGATGCACATTTCGTCCTATTTGGGACTCGTCGGTCGGATGCATCTGCATTTCTCAGTGAGTGATGACGTTCCCATCACGGAGGCTCGAACCCAGTACCCATAGTTTCAAACGCCAAAGCGTATTATCCACTAAACCACTTGGGCCACGAGATCCACCTCTTGTGCAACGGGTCATATTAATTTTAATGAATTTTAGATTTTCCCGTCGATTGATTGGACCGAAGTACTCGGTCTCAGGGTGACATCGTCGAAGCATCTGCACAAGAAGCCGACAGACATGTCAACCTGAGACCGAGCACTTCGGTCCAATCAATCAATCGACGGAAAAATCTCAAATTCAATAACCAACTGTTCTCTAAATAAAGTTCATTTACAGTCTTATTTTGTTATTCATGATTATTTTGTCGTATTTAATGTTTTTGTTGTTATTTGTTGTAATATTTAAGATAGATGACAGTAAGAATACACACGTCTACGTGAGTGGATTACCTCCAACAATAACAGATGATGAATTCTTAACTCTTATGTCTAAATGTGGTGTTATCATGAATGAACCATTTACTAATGTACCTCGATTAAAATTATACAAAGATCAAAATGGCAAGCCTAAAGGTGATGGACGATGTTGTTACATTAAAGTAAGTTGTATTTTTCTTACATAATTTGTTGGGCATTTCTCATTTTTGTTGCTGTAGTTATTTTAGGGGGATTTGATTTGTGATTGGTTACAAAATTTCATCATGAGCTGACATCGGCTAGAGAAGGAACCATTGAAAAACCAGCCGGAAGTACTCGACGGCCAGCTATTTCCTCCTAGTTTGGAACTCTTCATCAGCACACACCCCATACGGCGGGATTTGAACCCGGGACCTGCTGGTTACAAGGCCAGCCTCGTAGACTATTAAGCTGCAACCTCTGCCAATTCGTGGTTTGCCGCGACTGGTGGCGCGAGTATTTGTCCTCACATCCGCCCAACCTGCTGGTGGACCTATCTGGTCACGACTTCTTACTTGAACCCGGGTAACTACCTACGTGAATAGGGCCAGTCGCTAGTGAGCATCAGATACGTTAATTTATTAAATCTTTGGCCTAAATAGCTTTATGCCTTCGACTTTTAGACAATTGGTCATGAATTTAGATCTCATCACACCTTCCTCAGCCTGGTCAACTGAGTAGGAGTGGTAGAGTAGTATTGCAACGGTGAAGGGTAAGAGAATTGGTAACGAACTTTCTTTATTAAAGAAAAACGCATCATATTTATACAGTTTTTTAACCACATTAAAAGTTGTCTAGGTCAGTCACTGGATAATATAAATTATTCTAATTGGTTGGCTGGCGATTGGCCTAAAGATAGACTATGAGACGAAAACATTGTTCAATCAGATTATTTCTTGACTACAACGTCAACTAGGGCCAGGTTTGAGGAATAAAAGCTCCTACACACCTATGCAGCCATCTGTTGACGTAAATTGTCGGTTTCAGCTGTTGGCCTCCTCATATTTATCAGTTAGCCATTGGAAAACCACCTGGCAGTACTGGACAACTGTTTCGTCCTAGTTTGGGACTCTTCATCAGTACGCACCGCCGGGATTCGAACCCAGGACCTTCCAGTTACAAGACAAGCGAGCTTGTAGACTATTAAGCCACTGGGACCCTATCCAATGGCCAGCCGATGAATTCTAACCTCTGCCAATTCTACGTGCTGCTGAAGAGTTCCAAACTAGGACGAAACAACTGTCCAGTACTCCCAGGTTTTTTAATGTTTCTCTAACCAATGTCAGCTCATGATAAAATCCTGTGAACCTATAACCAATGAAATCCCTGAAAATATCAACGCTAGAAAAATATTTTTATGTTATATAATCTAAAGTGTGTAGGCATTGCATTCCAAAACTACAACAAAAATAGTAATAATAATAATAAAAGTAGTATTTATTGTGTACCAGGTAGCTGATGAATTCCATCATTTTTATGCGTATATATATAAATGTATCTACGTGTGCATGTAAAAATCAGGTGGAATCTGTGGAACTGGCTTTGAAAATTCTCGATGGTATGATGTATGCACCAGGTTATACTGTACACGTGGAACGAGCTAAATTCCAGCCTAAAGGAGAATTCGATCCAAAGAAACGAAGGCGTCTAACACTGAAAGAGAAGAAAAAATTGAAACAGCAGCAAGAAAAGTAAGATTTGTGTGTATGTATACGCTTGTTTGCATATTATATATATATATATATATAATTCCTCTGGGTTCCGAGCGGAACACAGGGTTTCAGCAGTACATCTCCATCTTATCCTGCTCTCTAAAGTTTTTTTTAGCTGGTCTCTCATCTCCTCACACACGGTCTCCTCGATGTCACCCTTGGACGCCCTGTCTATGACTATTGTGTAACCAATATTCCTTCTACGCTTCATATTTACATCTCATGGCTAGTGTTTGTAATGTGAAGCTGTGGATCATTGGTCTCAGCGCACTTGACTTTCAACCAGTGAGTGGGTGTCGGGTTCGAACCCTGCCCTGCTTAACGAAGTTTAGGCAACTAAATAGTAGTAGCACTCCCGCCCCCCCCCCCCGACACATACATACAATAGGTTTGGCTCATTACCTCAACTGTGTGAAATTGCATTTAGTTGTTGAATAACACTATAAGTACAAACTGTTCTGACGAGTACGAAGCTTTTTATTGGTAGTTGGTACGGAGGCGATTGGCAAGAAGCCCGCCGCACCTAATCTGGGTTTCGTGCTTGTTGACACTCACCCACTCACTCATGAGTCAACAAGGCGTATCTGTTACAATCTTGAAGGAATTCATGGTCCCTCTTGAGAGTCGAATCCAAGTCACCTAGTAAGTGATGCAGTCAGAGACGTTACCACTACTGAGTGATTTGGACTCATGATTGACATCTCCAGTGTAGGACTATAATGGATACTTTGATTGGACAATAGGTAGTGTACGTGACTGATATATCATTCGTCTAGTCCTTGATATCGATGCGAACTGTATTCTATCAGGGAATTGTGCAATTGGGCCACCACTCTTGTTGATTACTGTTTCTCTATTAGCCTATGAATGAAAGTCGTTATAAGCCTGATCTAATGTGTGTATATATCCCCTTTCGTATACTACCACGTCTACCTGTAGTTAGACATCGATTCCCAAATGTAGTTGATTTTAGACGACAGGATTCGAACCATGTGGACCAACAGGTCGCTAGCTCAGTGTTTTACACTAATTATTTCATATCAGTTTCCGAGAGTCCTGTCCTTCTCTCTCCCTGTTAGCGTTTAAGTTAATTTTAGTGTGCTTATGATATATCGTATGCTGCGTTACAACACAATTGATAAAAGCTTTGGCTCATTGATCTAGGGGCTCAACTTTCGACCAGTAGATGAGGGGGTTTGACGCCTGTCTCACCAACCACGTGTGGTTTCCAGTAACCGTCAAACAAATGATGTGTAGCCCATTGCCAAGTGCATGGAATTAAAAGTAGTTGAGTGCGCTATCAGCACAGAAATGCTACTATTACATATATTATTATTCCCTTAGGTTCCGCGTGGAACACAGAGGCTTCAACAGTACATCTCCATTTCATCCTGTTTCTTTATCTGGCTCCGCGATCGACCATTCGCTCTTCTCATTTCCTTCATGTCACCTTCGACCATCCGCCCAACTCATCGTTTCTCATTCGAGGTCCATTCAAGAGTTTACCTGGCGCGAGGTGTCATTCGATGGTCTCCTCAGTGGCGTGTATCCAATCCTTCTCCATTTTCTTTGATATATTTGTTGGGCTATGGATTCTAGGTAAACTGTCAAAGAAAGGAGACTTAAGTCAATGCAAGAACTGGCGCGGAATTATGCTCCTGTTCATCCCAAGCAAAATACTAAGCCGCATCATCCTGGAGAGAATCAGATACGCCACTCTGGATGAAAAGCTTCGACCGGAATAGGCTGGATTCAGGAGAAACAAGTCATATATTGATCAAGTCGCCACTCTACGGATCATCATTGAACAAAGCTTGGAATGGTAGTCACTCCTCTATCTCAACTTCATTGACTTTGAAAAGGCCTTCAGCAGACAGCGTCGACTGAGAGGTGATTTGGCAACTACTTTGTTATTATGGGGTGCTGCCAACAATTATACATCTCATCCAACAGCTGTACGACAATTCTGCATGGCAAGTAATCCACAACGGGAAACTTAAGGAGGCCTTGGAAGTGAAAACGGGAGTGAGACAAGGCTGTCTACTATCGCTGATGATTTTCCTGATTGCAGGCGGTAGACTGGATAATGCGACAAGCAGTGGGCAATGAGATCACAGGCATAAACTGTTTCCACACAACAAACGTAGAGGATCTGTACTTCGCCGATGATATGCAAATGAGAGACAACAAGTTGGCAGAAGAAGCATCAAATATATTTAAAACTTCAGGGGAACATAGAGAAAACAGAGGTAAATGATGAAGATTCCTGGCCAACAACAACAGACAAAAATCAGCCAGCATAAATGGGAGGAACCTGAAAGAAGCAACCTCCTTTACCTACCCATCTACCTGGGAAGCATCGTTTCAGCTACACGCAGATGGAACTGACGAGGATATCAAAGCAGCGAGGATAGGGAAAGCAAGACAAGCTTTCATTTCTCTCAAGTCTGTGTGGAGGTCAACTGCACTCAGCAATCGGCATGAGAAATCAGATCCGTATATTCAACTTCAATGCGAATTCAGTCAGTGCTACTACACAGTTCACAGACTTGGCACCGCGTCATGAAGAGCACATCAAATAAACTACAGACCTTCATCAACAGCTATCTGTCTTCGCTCCATACCACTCAAGATCAGGTGGCCGGCCAGAAAATATCAGCAACAGTCAGGGATCTCTGGCAGTGGACGAACCATTCCAACAGGAACTGATTTTGCAACAAATAGGCAGGAAGAAATGGAGATGGATTGGCTGGACATACTCAGAGAAAACAAACCATCACGTGACATCACTAGACAAGCCATTGCTCGAGTGGAACCCGAAAGGGAAGCGGAGAGTTGGTCGTGAGTGCTAGAGTGACTTAGAGGAGGAGGTGATGTGAACAGGAGATGAAAGCTTGTGATCAGACTTGGAGTCAGGTGGAAACTCTAGCAGAGGACCGAACGCAGCTGAAACCCTATGTTCCTCTAGGAATTAAAGGAAATAATAATAAATAATAATGGATTATAGGTTAGCTCATCACCAGAGTTCCTTATTGGCAATCCTTTCTAACTGGCCATGTGATCTTCAATGGTGGAGCCAGCCAAGGGGACAACTGTTTTTGACAAAGTTTGTGGACGGCTGTTGGAAATGCTTTCGGTGACACACACACACACACAGAGTCCTTGAAACATGTAGAAACACTGACTAACTTGACGCTAGTGTTAGCATAAGCATAAATTACCACGAAATAGTGTGCAAGACTGGGTGTCTGGAAGATTAATCTTATGATATCAGTCCATAAATAGAATGACAAAGGTGTTGAGTGCTGTATTGATGATGATAAGAATGCAGTGGCTGCAATGTTACTATGTTCAGGTTTATTATATAAGTGATACTTCAACACAGGACAATACGGTGACTAATCACAATATTTGAACACTTTTCTCACGCTGAGAATATAAATAAATCAAAAGACAAAGATTTATTCCTACTGGCCAAAGGTAATAAGACCAGAAATTACAACTAGTTATATAGTTGTTTGGTATTAGATGGTTGGAGGCAATCAACAGGAAGCCCCACCCGACCTAGGTTTCGTGGGTCATTTGGCATTTATCAGTAAGCAGGGCGTATCTGCAACCTTGAAGGAATTCAGGTCCCTTCTGAGATTCGAACCCGCGCCACTCAATGCCGCCTACAGTCAGATGTGTTACCACTAACGAGCTATTTGGGCTCACGATTGATCATCTAATACCAACTATTCGCAGTGCACCGTGATGCCGAGCCGCCTAGCTTCCTGGTGTGTTAAAATTGTGCCGTATTAAATATTATTCTAAATTATTATTATCATTATTATTGTTTCCTTGGGTTATGAGGGGAACATAGAGCTTCAGCAGCACATCTTCACTTTGTCCCTATGCTCTGCTGTCCTCTTCAGCTGCACCGATGATTGTCCATAGTCTTGATCTTCCCCACGTCACTGTCGAGGTTACGCCTCATTCGTCGTTTCCCATTTAGGTTCCACTCGAGTGACCGCGGTCTCCTCAGTGTATGTTCTATCCATTTCCATCCCCCACGGTATATTTGCTGAGCAATAGGTTCTCGCCTGTTGGTTTGTTCCCTTCCTTAGTTTCTTGTTGATAATTCTTTCTGGTTGGCTGACTGGCTGGTGATTTGATTTTCAATATGGAGGCAGTAATGGTGGCAACTGTTGACAAAAGTGTGAAGTCTGACCTATTGGAAATGCTTTTCGTAACATGAGCGCCAAGTTTGTTACCCATATAGAAGAACTGAGTCGACTGACCTAGCAGCATTGGTGTTGAAAATTCTCATCATGTTGTTTATGCTGGCTGAGTGGAGACGATCTCCAAGCTGATTTCATAGTGATGAAGCTGTGCCATCCATACCTTTCCAATTCCCGTTGGTTTAACATCTTCATCCGTGCCGGTAAACTTTAGTCAAAAACGATTCTACCCTAGATAAGTGAAGGAGGTGTAAAACCTCTTTCAAATTATTATTGATCTCTATCAAAATATTATTATTAATGCAAATATTTCACTTCTATCATCTTTCTCCTCTTGTTGTGAAATTCTTATATTCCAGCCTTTTCCGATGGGGTATTGATAGCAGTCGATTTATACGTGGTAAAAAAGAACGCGTTGTAATCCTTAAAAATGCATTTAATGAAGCTGATTTTCAGGTGAGTAGATTCTACGTTTTTATTTTATATATAAATATTTATTATTTTCAAGAATTTCAAATGTTGTGTCCAAGCATCTCTCGTGTTATTATTATTATTGATCCCTTGGGTTCCGAGTAGAACGTAAGGCATCTACAACTTTCTCTATTTTCTGCCGTCCTCTTCAGCTGGCTCCGCGGTCGACCATAATCTCTCATCTCCTCCTCCTCCTCCTCGCACGATCTCCTTCATGTCACCCTCGCACGACGACCCACTTCGTCACTTCCCATTTACACCTCACTCGAGGGCCTGGCTTGTGTGCAGTGTCATTCAGTAGCCTCATCAATGTGTGTGCCCAATCAATCCATCTCCATTTTCTCCTGCGTTGTTCATCTTCAGAGTTTCTTGTTACCAATTCTTTCTGACTATTTGATCTTCAGTATGGAGGCAGCGATGGAGACATCTGGTTGATAAAAGTCGGCAACAGGCTGTTGGAAATCCTTTTCGTGACACATTGGCCAAGTTTCTGACCCCCTATAGAAGAACTGACTGACTGACTTCACATTTGTGTTGAACAGAATTAGAACCTTGTTCTTTATGCTGGATGAGTTGAGAGCAGATTTCCAAACTGGTTTCAGGTCGATGAAGACATATCTTACCTTACAGATTCTGGCTGGCTGGCTGTTTTTGACATCTTCATCCGTTCCGACTACCTGTGGTTGAAATGATGTTGGCTGCCTAGGTAAGTGAAGGAAGGGAATATCAATCGATAAGGTTGTGAAGTAACATTGATTAAAATGGTAAAGACACGTGTTGTGCACATGCTGAGTTTATCGCCTTTACTTGACGAACAATGTTAGCTGATTTTGATATAGGATCGGGTTGGCGGAGAGAGTTACATAGATGATCGGATCATAACTGATCACCAAACCCATCAAGTCTTTTGATAGTTAGTTTCTGCCAGTCATTTAGGTTGGTGAAAACTGTCTAGTTGGGATTGTCGTCATTCTAAGAACCTGTGTAGTGCCTGTAGGTGAAACGACTCACATCCAGATGGGTGTGAAGGAAGGAAGTTACCCCTTTCAAACTTCTCCTATTGATAGTGATTGAGATGCCTGTTGTCGTTGTTGTTATTATTGGCGTGTTATCTCCACCCTCCCCATCTTGTATATATACAAATATATTTATTTGAAGTCTTGTCTTTTCTGCCTGACTCTTCTGTCAGTCCGTTGGTTTTCGCTTGTAAGTTTTCGAATTTATGTGATATATTAGAGACATAAATGATTTTCCTGATTGTGGTAGACTGGTTAATGCGACAGACAGCGGACCGCGGGCAATCAGGAGATAGGCATAGAATAATGGACCCACACAAAAAACTTGGAGGATTTTGACTTCGCCGATGATATTTGCCTGATTTCTCACAAATTGGAAGATATGCAAGTGGTGAAAAGCAACAAGCTGTCAGAAGAAGCATCCAGAGAAGATAGGACTTCAGGGAACATAGAGAAAACAGAGGTAAGTGATGAAGACTCCTGGCCAACAGCAACAACAACAACAGACAAAAATCAGCCAGGATAAATGGGAGGAACCTGAAAGAAGCAACCTCCTTTACCTACCCATCTACCTGGGAAGCATCGTTTCAGCTACACTCAGACGGAACTGACGAGGATATCAAAGCAGCGAGGATAGGGAAAGCAAGACAAGCTTTCATTTCTCTCAAGTCTGTATGGAAGTCAACTGCACTCAGCAATCGGCATGAGAAACCAGATCCGTATATTCAACTTCAATGCGAATTTAGTTAGTGCTACTATACGGTTCAGAGACTTGGCTCTGCGTCATGAAGAGCACATCAAATAAACTACAGACCATCATCAACAGCTAGCTGTCTTCTCTCAATACCACTCAAGATCAGGTGGCTGGCCAGAAAAGATCAGCAACAAAGATCTCTGAGAGCGAACCAACCAGGAACCGATTGTGAAACAAATAGGCAGGAAGAAATGGAGATGGATTGGCTGGCCATACTCTGAGGAAACCATCACGTGACATCACTAGACAAGCCATTGCTCGAGCCTAACCCGAAGGGAAGCGGCGAGTTGGTCGTCAGTGCGAGGGTAGGGTGACTTGGAGGAGGTCATGTGAATAGGAGATGAAAGCATGTGGGCAGACTTGGAGCCAGGTGGAAACGTTAGCAGAGAACCGAATGCAATGGAGACGCGTGGCTGAAACCCTATGTTCCTCTAGGAATTAGAGGAAACTAATATAATAGTAATAATAATAGAGACATAAATTGTCAACGAACTCCCAAACCTTATTGAGTCTTCTTATCGGTCAGTTCAATGTATTCCTGTCTCCTCACACCCAACAACGCAAAGTCTCCCATGTAAATCCAGTGCATACCAATTAGGAATATCATGATTAACAAATGGCAGCCTTGTCTTGCTCCATTCTGTCTTCACTTCAAACCCAAGCATCACTGAGTTCTCCGTTGCTCAATACTTACTCTAAAATCGTATTATGATTGTCGAAATACTTTTTGTAGATCTTCATACCTGTCATGTTATATATTATCAACCTATTTAAAGATAAAAAATAAAAACAAACTATTTTCCCATTTGTAGAAGGATGTTACGTTGATTCCAATTGTAAAAGAACGTTTACGTGTACAATGTGCTAAATGTGGTATTATTAAAAAGATTGTTGTTCACGATGTAAGTCCTTTTTTAATAGTAGTTGTTGTCAATTACTACCTTTTTACATCTTTCTTTATTTTAATTTACTTTATGAAGTGTTAATCTGTTGACTGACATCAATAGTGTTGGCAGAGAAAACAATGCTTACTGGAAACTACCGGACAGTTGTTTCGTCCTAGTTCAGGACTCTTCAGCAACACGTGTACTGCTCACCAGGGTCTGAACCTAGAATCTCTTAGTTTTCATGGCGAGGTGCTCGTAGGCCATTTAACCCCTGAGATCTGATCCAATGATGCATGAATGTAAGTACGCATTGATATAGGGAGAGAGAAGGTATGTAGAACTAGCACCAAAAGGCAGCTTTTTGATTGGTCAGTAACTAGTGTAATTTATGTGTGTCTTTATCTAGTCCTATCTTTAGTGCAGACTGAATTCTACCAGTCAAGGTCCAAGGCTTCCTGCTGATTGCTTCTAATCATCTTATACCAGCGATTCAAAGTACACCGTGATGGTGAACCACCTAGTGGCCTGGTGGCCACATTGCGAGCTTCACTGATAGAATTCAGTCTGCACCGAGGAAAGGACTAGACATAACACACTAGTTACTAGTGTCCAATCAAAGTATCCACTACAGTCAGTCCTACAGGAGGTCAGTTGCGAGCCGAATAGCTCAGCGGTGGTAACGTCTCTGACTGCAGGCGGCACTGGGTGACTCGAGTTCAAATCTCAGAGGGTGGGACATGAGTTCCTTCAAGGTTGCAGATGCGCCTTGCTGACTGACTGGTGAGTGTCAACTAGCATGATGAAATCCTGTAACCAAACATTCATACTGATTAGTCATTTTTACACTCATTACGTCATGCCAACTTCTGTCCCTTTTCTAACTTCCAATTAACCACCCCGTCTAGATTACACCTTACATTAAAAAATTTGTTTTTCCTTTACCTTCCCAGTGGAACATAGGGCTTCAGGCTAGAGGCTTGAAGTTTCGTTAGCAGTTGTGTGTTTATTTTTTACGTGATGGGGGGTTGCTAATCTCATGTCCAACCTTCCCTCTTTACCGATTTTATTACTGGCTTAGCGAGGTAAAGGAGTGGGTTGGTGGCCGGGGTATGAACCCCGAACCACCTGTGTGATTGGCAAGCATTTCACCGCTGTGCCACCGACGCACACACTTTGCATTACGTAATACATTTTTGAGGAGAAATCTTACCAGTCTTGTGAATTCCTTGTTAAATATATAATTACGATTGTACAGCAGCTAATGAAAGTGAGCTTGCTTTGTAATCTGAAGTTCTTCGGTTCGATCGCTGGTGGGGTCATGGGTGTGTGTGTGTGCACTGCTAAAAAGTCGTAAACTACAACAAAACGGCATCTGTTCAGTATTCCCTGGTTTTCAATGGTTTTCTAACGGAAGACAGCGGTCAAACGTGAAAACAGTCAAATAATCCCCGCAAACCAATACTTGAAAATTAATCTAGTGCTTGCTCACTAGTGGCGCGGGACTGCAGGATGAAATTGTCTGAAGTTCCAACGATAAATGATGACCATTAGGTTCCAACAAGATGGCCGGTTAGGATTGATACCTAACGATGATGTTGGCTGTCATTCGCAAAATATGTCCCAAATTGGCAGGGGTTAGGATTGATGAGCCATTGTTAGATTTCATCCCAGTTGCTGGAGTTGTTAGAAAGTTTCGGGGTCATGAGTGTTGAAGAGTCCCTCGCTGGGACGAAACGACTAGTCACCACTTCCTAATAATGGCTCCCTATGCTAAAATAAATATTTTTCTTCACTCAGATTGGTTTGTTTATATTCTTAAAAACAAAAGAAGCATTTAATTAGTGGATGGTGTCTAGCAGTGGAATCCAGGATGAGCATTTCGTTCGATTTGGGACAGTGTCCATAGTCGGTAGGAACACCATCACACACTGTGGAATGCAGGTACATCCACCTGTCGAGTCCCAAATAGGACGAAATGCTCATCATGAATTCCACTGCCAGTCACCATCCACCAATTAAATTCTAATTACATGCCCAGACATCGTTGAAGCAATCTGCCCAGGAAGCCGACAGACAAGTCAGCACTTTGGATCAATCGATCGATGGGAAAATCTAAAATTGAATTGAACACCATTGAACCATTTTTAGATGTGTTAATATTATTTGAATTATTTTTAAATCACATTTTTTATATATTTATACATATGTAGGCACATCCAGAAGGTGTTGTCAGTGTTACCTTCTCGACGCCTGAAGAAGCTGACACAGGTATACAATTCATGGCTAAAGCTCTGTTCGATTATCCTGGCACTGGAGGTGCTAGACAACTGGAAGCGGAACGTTGGGATGGTAAAACCAATTATAATGTATTCGAATCGAAAGATAAAGAGGCTAGCCGTTTACAGAATTGGGAAGAATATCTTGGCGGTAGTTCTTCATCTGGCGAAGAAGATGAAAAAGGAGAAAGAGTAGAAGAAGCAGTCGGTGAAGGGTTAAAAGATGCCGGAGGTAAATTATCCATCTCTTCGAGTACTACTCATAAAGACGATAATAAACACAGCAACAACAGCAACGATAAAGATAATGAACCTAGTGCTGCATGTAGACGTACCCAGTTAGCTTTCGATGTCCCATCCGATTATTGGGAACGATTAAGTGACGATGAAGACGATCAATCCAGTTGTGTAGATACAGATGATAATGACGCTGGAAATGATGACAGTGGAGCTGAAACCTCCTAAAAAGTACAATATATGCTTTTTTGATATAAATGTATACATATTTTTGTTTTGTATTCTTATTTTCCTCTCTCTCTCCCTCTCCTCCCCCACAACCCACTCAGCCCCTTCATCCATCTTGATCTCATTTTGGTTGTATAAATTATTTCCTCCTATCTCTACAAACATCATACTCTATGTATAATAATAAATATCGTTTGTTAAGAGAGAAGTCCGTGTGGAACGCCATTATTATCATTATCGTGTTATAGCCTTTTTCATGCCTGTGCGTGCGTGAGCGTGTGTATGTATGTATATATTGCCATCATTCGTTTAGTTTATATTGAGATAATAAACATTCGATTATTGATTTTTTTTTCTTAAAATATTATCATTCCCTAGGTTCCGAGTGGTTCCGAACACATTTCTGTATATTTCCATTCTGTTTTTCTGTAGTATAATATGCTGAGCAATATTACGGTTTGGCGTAGGGTACCAAGTAAGGAAGACAAGTCAATCGATTTAGTCGAGAAGTTATATCGGTTGAGATGACTTACTACTACATGTGTTACGCATTCCGAGCCACCGCCTTCCCTAACAAACTATACCATCTGACATAAGGTTGTGCGGTTTGGGAAGAGTTAGAGTTAGTGGTCAAATCGAAATGTGAGTTCAATCCCTGAAGTCTTTGACAGTTGGTTTGAGTCAGACACCTAGTTGTCCCCTGGGCTCTGCGGTCACTCAACACTCTTTCTGTTTTAGGTACCCGAAGAATCAATCAACTTCCACGGTGTGGGTAGCCGGGAAGTAACAACCGCCCACACACTTGCAAAAGCATACGAAGCCTTCCTGAGCATCATTCTCCTTTACTCACATCACCTTCCTCATTTTGCTTCTCTATTACAGTTAGTACTATTCTGCAGGCTAGTGACGAATCTTCACTTCACTCTGTGACCACAAACAACGGTGAGAGCCATAGAAACACCCCGGATAGCTTTTTAAAGCCACGTCGCCAACTTCATATAGGAGCATTTAACGTCAGGACCCTCTTCCGAATCGGGCAGCAAGCATCACTAGCAAGAACTCTGGCATCTCGAGCTATGGATGTATGTTGTGTTTCGGAGACATGCATGCAAGACTCGAGTGTGGTCATTCATTTAACCTCGCCCGGTCAATAAGGTGAATCCTCAAAATTCACTTTAAGGGTGTCAGGAGACCCCTCAGCTAGCTTGCGAGGACTCGCAGGTGTAGGGATAGCACTGAGTGTTAGGGCAGAAAAATCACTTCTTGACTGGATCCCAGTAGATAGTCGTATGTGTGTGGTCCGTCTGACTGGGTCCGTTAAAAGGAGGAAAGACGGCGCTACTCGTCGTTGCTTTTTCGTATTCTCCGCTTACGCCCCAACAGACTGCAGTTCAGATGAACTAAAGGATGACTTCTACCTGAAACTGTCTAATTTTATGCAAAAAGCAAACCGTTCCGATATAGTTTTTTTAGCAGGCAACTTCAATGCCGAACAAGGGAAGTTGTGCCAGACTGAGAAGTATGTTGGTGGTACGTATGAAGTTCCCTGCTGACGAACCGACAACGGTGATCGTCTTCTACAGTTTTGCTCAGATAATCATCTGTTCCTAGTCAGGACTAACTTTAGGCACAAAGAGAGACGTTGTGTAACCTGGCTACCTCCATCACCAAATCAACGCTGGACTCAGATAGACCACATAGCGATAGGGTATCGTTGGCAAGGGTCAGTAGGAGACTGTCGCTCCTTCTGGAACACGTGCGTAGACTCTGATCACGCTTTGGTTTGCGCACCTTTATGCTTACAACTAGATGGACATAAGAAATTGACGGTAGCGGAACAGTTGCGTCATCAACTAGATCGAGACATTGAGTCCCTATTTAATGAAGAAATAGCGAAACGAGTGTCTGAGGTCGACAGCAGGGCTTCCCTTGAGGTAGCCTGGCTGTAGACACAGCTGTGAAAGCTGTTAAGCTAAAACCAAAAGTTAGTAAGAGCCATTGAATCTATACCGCCTCATCCGAGCTGATTTGACGCAAGAAGACTGATTCCAGCGAGCTCCGATTATGACGAGGCGCGAGAGCTATTCAAACGAAAACTAACAAGAAGTCTTCGCAACGACCGTGAACAGTGGTGGGCGACAAAAGCGAAAGAGATGAAAAGGCATTGGTGATTGGTAGCACCAGACAACTATTTAGGCTTATCAGAGAAACAGGTGGCAAAAGGCAAATGATATGTGAAACAATCTCTGAGAAAAATGACACCGTAGTTAGCTCCCAGGATAGATGACTGGAACGCTGGAAAGAACACTATGAAGAGCAGTTTAATTGGCCTGCAGCCGCGCTTAACCTGCCGAACATCCAAACCTCCCTGAATGGGATATAGACAGGTCCTCCGTCCTTAACTGAGGTTACGAAAGCTGTCACTAGTCTGAAACTAGGCAAAGCAGCAGGACCTGATCGAATGACTCCAGAGGTATTTAAGTACGGTGGAGACAGTTTACTGTCTGCATTAGCTGAGGCACTCGGCAGCTTCTGGGAATCAGAGGAAGTCCCATTGGGTTGATGTAAGTCACTGAGACAAGTCTTCCTGTGATAATCGCAGAGGGATTAGCTTGACTAATATAGTATCTGAAGTCCTAGGCTCAAGAATATTGCGTAGACTAAGTGGTTCACTGGAGGCACAAACACGAGAGAACCAGGGAGGCTTTAGACCAGGAAGAGGGTGTATTGATCATATCTTCACCCTTCGACAGATTCTAGAAGTTAGGGATTCTTACCGGTGTCCAACAATCATTATATTTCTTGACCTGAAGGCGGAATTCGATTCTGTTGACCGAGAGGTACTCTGGCGATGCTTGACTGTAAAGGGAATCCCGAGAAAATACATTGCACTGATCAAGGCACTCTACTCGTTCTCATCCAGCTAGGTGAGGGCTTACAGCGAGTTGTCATCTGAAGTGGTGACGACTGGCGGTGTCCGTCAAGGATGCACATTATCCCCATTTCTTTTCAATTTCACCATAGATGTATTAATGAACTTAACCCTAACTCACTTTAGACAGTCAGGGATTGACTTGCTGCCAGGGAATAATCTTATTGACTTAGAACATGAAGACGATATAATCCTTCTAGGCCAGGACGCTGACAGAATGCAGAGTCTTCTGAACACCTTGAGCTGCAATCTACGAATGTTTGGCATGCGATTCGCTTCTGTTGTCAAATGCAAGATGATGTTACTGGACTACACTGCCTCCTAGCTTAGAAATAGGGAGTGAAGTGGTAGAGCACGTTGACTGCTTCACTTATTTGGGAAGTTGTATCACTCAACCCCAACGGATTGATCTCTCACGAAACTTCAGCATGGATACATCGGGCTAGTTTTGGATATGCCAGTTTACGCCGTCTGTGGCGTAGACGTCATATCTGGCTGTCAACCAAAGGGCGAGTGTACTGCTCATCAGTCCGCTCCGTCCTCCCTTATGGCTGTGAGACCTGGCCATTGAGAGTGGAAGACATGAAAAGCCTGGCTAGCTGTCTTTGATCATAATTGCCTGCGTTCTATCTCCTGTGTGAAGTGGTATATTAAGGTGAGCAATATTGAGGTTAGGAATCGGCTAAGAGCTAGGTAGGCGGAAGGGAAATCAATCTACGAGGCTGTGAAGCTACATCGACTGAGATGGTTAGGACATGTGTTACATATGCATAGGCATCGATTGCCTTCCTCGACGATGGACAATGTTAGCTGACTGACGTAGGATGGTGGATCAGTTTGCAAAAGAGTTAGCCAGTGGTGGTCAAACGAAAAGATGACTTCATTAGTCAATGTAATTCACAAAAGTTAGTTTAAGTCAAATAGGAAGATGTCAGAGTGATTAGTACTAGCATTACTTATTAACATGATTTACCGGTAATTGGACTAAAATTAGCGAAAGCTGAAATCGTATTGCATCTTTCTGGTTACATTAGCAAAGCTATGAGGTACCAGATAACTCAAATAAGTGAGACCATGATTATTATTCCAATGGATTCTGAATAGAATATAAGGCATCCATTTCATCCTGTTCTCTTTAGTCTGCTTCAGATGGATCCGCGTTTGCCCATAAATTCTCTCCATTCTCCTTCTCCATGTTACCGTGGGCCTTACGCCGAAGTCACCTTTTCCAGTTTGGGTCACAATCGAGAATATGACTAGCTGGCAATGTGTCACTAAACGATCTCCTCAGTTTGTGTATCCGATCCATCGCCATTTTCTTGGATGTATACCAGTGGTCTTTTTTATTTTTTGTTCAAGCAGTAATTCACACTTTCTATTGCCTGGTTCTGATGATGTTTGAATTCAGTCACTGGAATAGGTGCCACAAAGTCTAGATTGTGAGGGCTGGTGATATTATCCAGGTATTGAGTCCGAATTAGGTGGGAAAGGATTCGAACCTGCTGATCTTTCCTGGTCGTCTCATATCTTGATGATTTCTAAGAAAATATTCCGTCTTGCCTTCTACATCAAGAAGTTAAGACATTCTGGAATAACCCAACCCCTACCTTTTACGACTCGTTAACTCTTGCATGCTGCCTATTATTCTCTATTGTTCCCCCTTAGTTTTTCCTGGGCTACTGAAGAAAGACTACACCTTGTTACGCAGGATGTTAAAGGTTGTCAGCAGGGTAATCAACGTGCCACTTAACCAGCCTGTTAATATTCTGGTCGACAGGCACTTGAACTCAAGTGAAAAATGAGCTAAATCCATTTTATCTATCTAACTCACACCACCACCCTCTTCATTCACAACTCTCTCCTTGTATGTCATCAGGCGAAACTAGAAGCCTATATAGGAAACTATAGGCTCGAACTAGCAAGTACAAAAACTCAACTATACCCTACTTGGCTAGCTCGTATTCTGTGCGATAAAGAAAGCATTAGGCGTGATACCTATAACTTATTCAATAGTCAGTAGAACAACTGGATCTCGTCTTCCCAAATCATACCATTTATAGGTGCAACGTTTTTCTTTCTTTCTTTTCTTTTTCTCTCTCTTTTTTCTGTTATGTGCAGCTTTGTTTCTTTCTTCTGCTTACGCCAGTAAATATGCTAGTATCTACTTTTCTAACACCCTCAAACACTGTTCAGTTTTGGCTTTACTACCGATATGCCAATATGTTGTCAAAACTAACCGAGACATTACCCTTAATCAATGTAGAATGTTATTTATTGTTAATGTACAAACTGGATGCAATGCAGTAGTGAAATGCTGAGAATTCCATTCTGTATCACAAATACTGTTTTGGGACCAAGCAAATTATGATTATTATTATTATTAAAAAATGCAGTGCTCAGTTTAAATGATTCACGTTTTCACCTAGCCTAGCTGAAA